ACGATCACTGTCTGACTCAAAAACCCTGCAGTTAGCACTGACGTGTGTGTTAATTATCTGCTCGGGAGTACGGTGGCTTATATGTTTGAGGCAGTTTTTCTCCCAGTCATGACCACTTAGCTGAGGCCTTGAAACCGTACAGCATGCTACGAGGTAACGCCGCGAAACTTCCACTTTCCCATGGACTCGAAAACGTTGCATGTCCTAAAGCCAAATGGCTCGATCTCCTTCTTATAGCATGCCTCGCAACTGTCTTCCGCTCTCAATTGAGTCGCCGCGAAAGCCATTCGTGGGCTCTGACGGCTCAGCGCTGGCGGGTTTACTATTCTCGAGCGTGGCATCATGACTGAAGATCATTTGCCCAGTGCACGAATCGTGACTCGGAGTCTGGGGTCTGGACTGTCCACAAACTTCTGCTGCCCGCGGCAAAAACCTCCGAAAAATGGAGGCCGGGCCGATGTGGGTCCACCGCGGATCTTTCGGGGCTGCCGTGTTGCCCGGTTGTCTGGAGATCATGTCGGAGCGCCGCGAGGAAGAGAGCATCCAGAAATACAGGTCATCCCGCCGGCTAGCTGAAGCTGTAGGGACCCTGTGACTTTAATAGTTTTGCAGAGGTTGGCCTCGATTTAGTACTAGAAAAGAATAGAAAGCTTCAAAGGCTCTGCGGCATCTTGGCCATATTTCATGTTATAGCCGCGACCTCCAGTTGAGTGCTTGGCGTCTCTCTCGGCTACACGATCCGTTGGGATGCTACTCGTTCACCCAAATGCAATGGAACTGAGAGATGTTGGTTATTCTCTTATTTAACTCTCTTTCGATCTAAATAGGAGATGAACACGCGAGCAGCGGTTGCCGTACCTTGCTTGGCAGGCACATTTGCATTCAGTTGACAAGCGGTTGAAACAGCCGGCTGCGAACAGTTCCTTCATCCAAAATGAACTGTTTTCCACGAGTCATTGGGTAGTTGCCTGTCAGAGCTGACAAAATAGGGCAGGTCGGCTCGCACCCAAAACTTTTCAACACCACAAAACCATAAAGTGAACCGAGACCATGGACTAGACGTCGCCAGGTACACCAAAGGCCGACCTGCCAAGGCCAATTTATTCCGATCTCTATTGACAGTGCTCCTTGAGTCTAAGAATTGGGCAGTCAGAGGGGCCTGCACAGCCGTCAGGAGTGCTCACTTGGCATTCTGCAATGCCCCTCTTTGCCCCGTGTGAAGTCTGGTTTTGGCATGATGAAAGATTATAGCCTGAACTTTCAGCTGACAAAATATGGGTCCTTGTCAGGAGGTTATGCCTGATCATGGTCATGGCTGAGAAATACCAAAGTCTATCTGGAGCGTAGCTGAGGTAACAGATCTGTCAGCGGCCAGTCTCGATATACGTTTCCCGAGCCTACTGCCCACGGTCTCTATTAGCTATGATGCCAGGCAACAGACAACACCAATTTTAAGAAGTAGCGGAAAACTCGTCACAACTCTGTCTTATCGTTGACGGAAATAGTGATGAGCTGCAGTGCCAGTCACCCTAGAGAACATCAGAGACAATTCTTTGAGTGATGTTCATTCTTATTCGAATCCATATAGTACGTCACATCTGCAATCATGAGAACTCAAAGCCCCTTAGACTATAAGCGAGCTGGGCGAGTGAGAGTATCCTCCTTCAATCAAAGCCAAACCCATCTTATCTTTAGACTGGACGACTCCATTTGAAGCCACTTGCAGGGCTGTGTTCATGAAAGTTGGAACGAACTGGCTGGAGACTTGGCCAGACTGTCTCCGCACCGGCCTTACAAGGAGACTCAAATAAACTACTTCGCTTTCCGGGGATGCAGAAAAAGTCCGTAGGGCTGTTAAGCGGTGTACAAGAAAACACGGTGGGCAGCCCTTGTTTCAAAACGTACCTTTTACCCATTGTCGTTAATGCTTCGACGTCTTAAGAAGCGCACTGATATAGAGGCCGGTGGGTAGTTCCAGGTTAAGGGTCCTACTAGGCACGAGTCGGGTGGCTCGTGGGGAACCACGCCGACTTAAGACCAAATTCATGCATGACTGGAAGATGACTGATCAGTATTCAGCTTAGGATCAGGTCGGCCTTGTTCTCGGATATCGGAAAGATGCCTCTTCGCGATGTATAAGACCTCAGGGTCGGCTGTGGTGAGAAGAAGAAGTTTGGCACTCTCATCAAACTCATCCATACACTCTCTCTGCTGCATCTAGCTTGCCAGGGCTCATTTATTTGCCCAATGCATTCTTTTTCTTGAAAGTTATACATTCTCTAGTTGTCAATACGAATGCTTCTTAAAGAAGCTTATAATGAGAGTAAATCAACTCCTGTCGCAGCGCCACACGTGGCGCTGCCGGTTACTGCCGTACGATACCGCTTTCCACAAGCCGATTACCCGTCTTGTATGGTATATAGATATGACCTTTATACGGATCTTCTACTTAGAGAAATCAAGCTACTTTCTGTTATATATATCTTCTACTTACTACCTCGCTTTATATCAATTATGAGCCCAGCTCTGACTTAATTATAAGTAATAGAAATCCATATTATAGTGAAGTGGGCTATAAGTGCTTACTCTCTCTCTAAACTACCCCTTCTTATATAAAACGAAACCGTCGTAACTATATATAATAATAATTGTAATCTCGCTCCCTATTATTAAGAAACTTAATAGTCCTATAACTATCTATAAGGACTAGCTTCCGTAATAGAATTCCCTTATTACGACCCAACATGTATGGTCAAGTTCGGGCCTACCCCGCAGTGTTACGAGCAGGTCAAGGCAACCAACTGTGGCACAAAGCAAAAGCTTCGATAATGATGACTCCGGTCATCATTGTCCCTTGTTCTGCATATATAGCTACGCGCCCATAGTGACCAACTGTGGCGGACGTAACACGCAGGCCACGGCGGCTAGAGTATATTATATATATATAAGTAAAACAGGAACACTAGTGACTCTCTATAGAACGGAAGAACTATAATATAAGTTACATAAACGATAGGATAAGAGTTATTTAGGATTAATATAATCTAATACAATCTAGAGGCTAAATGATTATTCTAGATTAAAATAATCTAGAGCGACCTAGGGGATAAAGGATGTATTTAGAATTAGGCCTTATATGTCACGGTAGCAGGCAGGTTGTTTGGCAGGTGGATGCTGGGCAGGCGGATCAGACAATCTATTGCTACGGGCAGGCTCTATCCTAAGCAGGTACAGGCTCTGTTGACAAGACGTAGCTCAAGGAGCTACGTTTCTGGACATGCGCGACAGAATACAGGATGCAGAGTTTCATCCAGCCTCAGGCTTACGTAACCCGGCCACCGGATTACTCAACACCAACCTCAAGGTTGGGGTCTAGGACAGCGGGTCTGTGACATTATATATAAAATAGACTCGAGCCGGGTGTTACGAGCTGGACAAGGCAACCAACTGTGGCACAAAGCAAAAGCTTCGATAATGATGACTCCGGTCATCATTGTCCCTTGTTCTGCATATATAGCTACGCGCCCACAGTGACAAGTTGCGGCGGGCGTAACACCGGGCTCTAAAATAGACTTCTTATAGTTAGCTTCTTTAGTAATTAACTTTGTATTAGAATTTATAACTTATAAGTTTTAGAATTTTAGTAAATATTCTAAGTTACTTTAATTATTCTTATTTAGTAAATTAACCTTACATAACTATTAATATAAGAACAACGATGCTTTTTAAAGCTATCCTATCTACCTGTTGGAACAGCAAAGGCTGATAAGGAGTAATAGGCAGGTACCATGGGCTGGCTGGCACCTGCCCTGGGCGAAGTGGGACAACTGGCTTAGTCATCACGGCCGGATAAAGGTGGGGCAACCACCCAGGCCGTCACTACCTACTTCGACCGACTCCTGCCTACAATGTAAGATAGAACAACAACAAGAAGAACAAGCAATAGGATCACCAACAGACGAGTGATAATTGCTACCACTATTTGTCGTATACGACCCCGTGAACCAACAATATCTTATTATACTGCTCTTTTACGACCCGGGCGACGTCTTTTATAATTATCGCCTGCTGCTTGTGCCAGAATTAGTAGTTAGCCGGAGTCATAGTCGGCGGTAGCATAGGCGGTATTGCGATGCTCTCCGTCGAAACGGACGGCGCCTACAGCTTAATATCAGACAGAAGTGAGCCATGATGCGCTCCACTGGCCAGGGAAGCGAGAATAGGTCGCCAAGTTCCGTGGCTAGTAATAGCTAGGATCTATTGGCCACTGATGATGTGAAGGGCATTGATCATCGTCGCAACACTGCTATCAGCGTCCTTCGTCTGCTCTAGGCACTCTTGAAAGGTGAAAACAGCATCACAGCCGATATGTAGCAACAGGTGCCCCAGCCTCCTCCGGACAGCGCCCTCATCTATTGAGGCTGATTTCGAGTCAAAGATAGTGACCACGTTCTCGGATATAACGGCAAGTATCCAGTGGGTATAAGTATCGAGGTTTATGGAAGCCAGGATAACAGTACCGGCGTTTACTGCTAGGTCGTTAACAAGGTCCTTCGGTGATTCTTGTCCGTTAAGCAGCAGTAGATCAAGAACTCGCACAGAAAGCGGGCACAGGGCGGCTGCCGCTTTGATGACCTGGTAAATCATCCCCTCTTTGACATGCTGGTCATGTGCAAGGCGTCTCGAGTCGAATCTGCCGAGCGAGGCCTGCGGTGATGTAGCCAGCCGTTGTCGCTTGGGAATTGAAGGCAGCGGGGATGCCGGTCGCTTTTCAGCGACGGACAGCTCATTAGCCCCAAGGGCGAACTCTAGATCAGGACTTGCAGCATGTGCTGCTGATGATCTTCGCGATAGGAAGGTACGCTCTGGCAGTTCTGCCTGCACGACAATCGTTGAGCCGGCCGCAGATGCGGGAGAAAGCGGACGTTTATCGGTTTCGAGATAGGATCCGGTCCTGTGGTCAAGACGGTTGAAAGTCGGTATCTGGCGTGTATGACCGCTGCTGTTCTCCGAACTGAAAGCCCCGTAAGCGGTGAAATGGCCGATGGGAAGCACCCTAACTGGGGTGGGCTGCGATAGGGTGGCGTTGACTTCCGACGGCGATGCAGTCAGCTGGCGGTTCAGCTGGGAAGCGTTCTCGGGCCCAGCCTACTCCAGAAGTCAGGTCTTGGAACACAAAGAGGGGCCTTTGGGGCTTACTGGAGCGGGTATGTCTTCAGGTTGACCTCCGGCCACCCCATCCTGTCCGCCGTGATCTGAAATTTCTCTCTAAACATCGTTTAAAGCTCTGGTGGTGTATCGTACACCTCGTAGCTCGCCTTCCAATGCCCAAAGACTAGTAGGCGACCTCTCCTTCTTCAGAGCCCACTAAGCCAATTTGCGAATAGTGAGAAGAGCCTCATGGGAGACGTGGCTAATGTCGAAGTTATCAGGTAACTAGCCTCGTCCGTTACATAATGTATCAAGTTCCTCATATCCCATCGAGTGCTGCAAGGCGACAATACATTGAGATGCGGGGGAGCAGCCAATCGGGCCACTTCGGGCCCCTTTTTCCAACCAACCAACGTAATTGATAATAGATACTTCCAATTATTAGAGATTCTGCGTATGAAATCGGTACCAGCAATCTTCTGAGTTACAGAGAGCTACATCGCACTCGAGGCAGTTTGGTGGATGTACCGTAGTAGAAATCATAGGGGCAACTCAAGCAGTGGATGTACCAGATGCGGTGCGGGGTAAAAGAGGGCCCCTTATGTGGAGCCAATGTACTGTCGCCTTGCAGCACTCGATGGGATAGTCTCTGCGGAAGTTGATGCTGGCCGATGGATCATGGGTGGACATGCGTCGAAATTTCGATGTGCCTGAGGGGGTGGGGCTTGGGGTTTAAGGTTTGCCTGTCATTATGTAATCACGTCCTCAGCATGTGACCAGCCGATGGAACGGCTGGATCAACGTCAGCGGGTAATTAAGCTATATTTCTAGTGGAGGGTGCCCAAAGCCGATCGTTTGAGCACATGACACTACTCGTGCCCGCCCCCACTTTAATTGGAACTCGGGACTCGTCACCCACTAAAGTGGGTGCTGAACACCCATATGTCCAGATCGGCCAGATGTCCAGAAAAGCATCAATTGTAACTATTCCCACTTTCAACCTCTCTTTAGCCAGCGGCCGCAACCCCCATCATCAACTATATATAGCAGCTGCAATCTCCCATCTTTCCTCATCATGCGAGCCTTTTTGGCAGCCTCAAAAGCCCCCTTTTTGGCGGTTTGGCGGATCTTTTGCTCAGCTGACTTAATAACCCCAAGGGCCTTTGTATACTCATTATCCTGCCTCTGCTTCACCATACTCCTCCCATCTCTTACTCGAATAACCCCTCCTGTTTAAGTTGGCTGTTTCTTGCCTGTCGACGAGCCTTTCGGACTTGTTCAGCTAAGTTGGTTCTTGAAAGATCCCTCTTGATCTGGATCAGTTCAGACCCTTGGGTTAAAGCCCCTCTAATGAAGCGATCCAGGTTCTGGCTAAATGGTGATACCTCTCCAGTCAACTCATGGATCTGGTCGTGGATGATCTCTGAGGCCTCAGATAGCCTATCAGCTACTCTTCGGAGTTTCCTGATAGTTATAGGAGTACTGAAGGGTGAGGAGTCCAATCCTCTATTAGGTGGTGTAGTTGGATTTGGTGGTGTGCCCTCCCGAACAGCAATCTTCTCCAGCACTACCTGTGGGTTATATGGGTTGATCCCAGTCTTCTTAAAAGCAGAAATAATAGTAGACTGTTTGAAGGCCTGCTTGCGGATTGACTGTATAAAGCTGAGGAACTCTAGCTTGGTGATGTTGGTGCAGCCCTCCCGGACTATTGCATCAATTGCTAGGCTGTGGTAGTGCTTGAGAGGCTGAAATACCACAACGTCCAGAGGCTGGAGGACATGGGTTGAGTGAGGAGGAAGGCCAAATGGGAGGATATTATGATCCTCGCAGTACTGTAGGAACTCAACCGTATGATGAGAGCCATACCCATCGATCAAGAGAAGCCTCTTTTGGCCTTGGGTTCGATTCCTTGAGTGTGTGTCAAAGTGCTTGATCCAATCCAGGGATAACTGGTCATTTGTATAACCAGTTGACGATACCCCAATCACTGTATCCGCCTCCAGGTCCTTGATCTCATACCATCTGCTCATATGAATAGAGCCACTGAGGATAAGGAAGGCAGGGATATAATCACCAGCTGCAGAGATAGCCTCTACTGCAGTTGCTGACTCCCTGTTCGTTGGGATGGCAAAGTAATGGGCCCTCTTGCGTTTGGTGATCACCATCTTATCCTTCCCAACCCCTATTTGGAAGCCAGTCTCATCCATGTTCCAGATGTCGGATGGCTGTATCCCATAGGTCTGGATGGTCTCTTGAAGCACTAGAAACCATCTGTTGATGACCTCTACATCCTCAGACTTCTTCCTTTCCATATCCAAGGTCTTCTCTTTGGCATAGAAGTATCCATGCCTCTTGACGAATCGACTAGCCCACGCAGGGCTGACAGATGGAGGAGGCTCTGGATAGCTATTATGAGACTTGGCTAGAAGGTAGTTGGCAGCATCCACAAGAAGCTGTCGTTGTAAGGCAAGGTTCATATGATCCATTCGATCAATATAGCGACACAGAGCCTTCTCTTGATCCCAGGTAAGCTTCTTATTGTGGGCTGGGCGGTCTGCAAGAGATGGTGTTCCGTGAAGCCTCCGATATAGCTTCTTTCGTGGGACTTGGTATTGCTCAGCAATAGCTGTAAGTTTTAACTTTGGATCTTCGCGAATCGATTGAATAGCCTCTTGAATACGTTCCTCTTCATCTTGGCTGAATTTGGTCATAGTGATGGGTTGCAATTGAGGTGGTGATGTTGATGGCAAGTATGAGCGATTTTCTGGACATCTGGCCGATCTGGACATATGGGTGTTCAGCACCCACTTTAGTGGGTGACGAGTCCCGAGTTCCAATTAAAGTGGGGGCGGGCACGAGTACTACTCCGACACCCGAAAGCCCTGCAGGACAGCGCTGCGCCCGCTGCCCGTTACCTCCTAATTTCGTAAATATCGCACTTACCATCTACGACCGCCAAACCTCGCCCAGTGCACCATGTTAGATTACTTCACAGTGCCGCTGCTCTCCTTCTACTCTTCATTCGCACACAGTCCCGCTGCAGCGGGGAGACACGCCTTACCCGTACAATACTCTGTGTCTCCGTCCTCTCCGTCCGAGACGTCTAGTTCTACGGATCCTCCGTTCTCCGATGCACGCTCTAAAGACACGCAGATTCCAGGCACTGAAATCCCTCGCGATAGATATTTTACATGTGGATGGACTCCTAGACCACTCTCCTGGCGTCCTGCAAGGAGGGTCAGTCCTGTCTCGCCTTCGTCGCCTTCCTCATTGTCCTTGTTGGCCCGTCTCTTTCTACCTTGCAGACCTCGCCGCTGTTCTCTACTTGTGTAGTGAAGATCTTGCCTCCCGCTTCCTTTGCCGCGTTTATCGCGTCGAGTTATCCAGGTAGTTGGATGGCGAAAGCAAGATCTCGTACGCGCTGGTCTTGGAACATCGTGTTGGCTGCACTCTTGTTCATCACCACGGCTTGGTCGGTGACCTTTCCGAGCCCTCGAATCAAGTTCACGCCCACCTACTGCGTCAAGACCTCTGGGCGAACCTTGAACTTCTCATCCACGGGGTAGTCGATGGTACGCCGCTCCATATTCCTGGCGGGCAAGATGGGAATGCCGAGAAAGTAGGAGTCGTCCCCTCGCCAGAAGTACGGTGTACCCGCGCAAGAGGTCTTGAGAATTCTTGTTCGGGCGGCCTTCGTGATTAGGCGACGTCAGTTCGCCGTCGAGAGCCCTTAGCTTCTCCCGAAGGACGTCCCTGTCCGCCTTTTCCGAAAATTATCTGATGAGGGAGTAGGGAAACCCCAGCTCCGCCAGGCTGTCCGTAATCGGAGTGCCACTGAAAGCGATGAAGTGCGGAGGGTCATGCCTCTAGTTCCGGATGAGCCTGTACATCGCCCCCGCCTGATTCGAGTTAACGAAGACGAACTCGTGGATCTCATCGAAAATCACTAAGCCAAAGTACCACGCGCCCTCGTAAGTGACCAAGACTCTTTTGTCGGGCTCCACCTTCAGATCGACATATCCAATCCAGTGCCGTTCCCAGCTCCTCGTTTGCTGCGTCGTCTTTCGCGATACTACCAGAAAGAGCGAAGAGGGCGGGACAGTATTCAGATCCTTCGGAGCCCACGGCCACAGTACGGGCTGGGTCCCGGCATCACGACACATTTCATCGAGCTTCACGCAAGGATGCTTGATTCTGTCGGAAATTGTGCTGTCGAGATTGCCGTATATGCCGGGTGGCTGGCATTGACGCCTTGGTCGTGTCGGCTGGGGTCGCTGGCATCGGGCTCCGTCGTGCCGACGTGTAGGTTCGCTCGGACCGCTTGGGATACGACGGCGTCGACGAAGCTTTGATCCGACCTTTGTTTCTTGGTAGAAAATGTACTTACCTGACAGAGTGCTCGCGGCGCTTCTCTCGCTGCCGCCGTCGCTTTGGTCCTCGCCGTTCTCGATTCCTCGTACGATGCCATTCTCCGAGATCGCTCGACACGGCAAAGGCGGGGAAATTCAACGGGTGGACCAGTATTCAGTTGGATAGTCGTTGCACAAATGGCGGGTTGGCGAGGCTGGATGGGTCGAAGTTCCGATGTTGACGAGGGCGATTCGTGTTGACGGCAGGTTCGGCCAGGTATGTATCCTGCCAAGGTGAAATCCAACGCTGCAGGGCAGGAGCGTTGGCGCGGGGGAGTTGGGGGCAGTGACAGACTGGTTCTTGTCTCGCGCGTCTTCGTGGAGGCGTTGCAAACTCAAGGTGGAGAGACTGAAGCGGAGGAGAGGTAATGAGGCCGCAAGTCGGCAGGTCGAAGTGGTTTCAACAGCAGGTTTGTGTATCTGAAACCGATAGGTTAGTGGTCGCGCGTTCGTTGTTCGTGTTGAAAGAATCGCTTGGGACTGCCAGATGCCTGTTTAATAGGTACCTTGCCGAAAATACAGCGACTAGCACAGTCAAGAGCAACCAGCCGAGGCAGTAACGCGCGCTTTCCGTACCTGCACAAAGGAAGTTGATTTGCGGGCTCGATCTTTAGAGGAAGAAGTCGAAGCGGTCGTGGACGTCGGCCAGGTAGGTGTTGTGAAGTAATAGTTGGAAGGCAGAAATTATCGGTAAACCCTGCGGCCGTGCTGCCTGTTGTCGAAAGTGAGGTAGCTGTGTCAAGTAGAAGCCTGGCCGCCCGCCACCAGACAAACATTTCCTTAGGCTATTGCAGCAAGAAGCGAGGGAAGTAGCAGCCCGTCGTGGTAGGCAGCCATGCCTTCCACATCGTTTGCATACAGACAACCGACAACCGAACAATGCCTTCAAATATAAGGTAGCGGCCCTTCGCCTCGAGAGTCTCGTATGGCAGCATCACTTCCTCCAATCCCAAATCACCACACGATCACTTCTCTTCTGCCGCATCCACTCGTGTTCTTATCTACTCGCCCATCGCCGGGAACACTGATCCGTTCAGTATTCGACCTCGCAATTGAGACCTAGGTCAGCTCTGCGCCGCCCTGGCTGCCCTCATAGCTGCCAGCACCAGCTTCCCAAACCGTACAAACCGCGTTGACTCGCCTGCCGAAAGGAGGTTATAGCCTTTCGCCTCCCTCATTCCTCTCTCTGGTTCGTTCAGCCCGTCTGATATCCCCGTTGGTAAGCTGACCCGCCTGTTTCCGATAGACTTCACTGCCGCCACCATGGCTTCGCGAGGAGACGACGTCAGCCTTGTCAAAGCCTATGGGCTGAACTCGAACCTCACACACGCTCAGACCCGGCAGGCCCTCGAGCTCACATGTTCCTTATGGGAATGCAACCGTCGATGCTCGGGACCGCCCTACAAGCCATTGGTCTACGTCATGCCAGACTTCGAGATAGCGGAACGCCTTGCAAGAGAAATCATGGCAGAAGACACCTTCGGCCACGTTGCCAGGGGAAAGCTGAAGTACTTTGTCCACGTCGAGCACGACGCAAGGGGAGAGATACCAGACCACTTGCGCCCGCGACTCGATGGCCTGTCAATCGACGCCTGGCTGCAGCAGGCGGACAGGTCGAACCACAAGGCACGTTCGGCCCTGGACCAGCTAGCTTCACATCCGTGCTAATACAGAGAGATGAAGACTTGCGAGATAGTCGTTGTCACGACGCGAGAAGCACTTCAGGAGATACCCGAATGGGCCGCTCGTTACGAAGCGCAGTGGGAGAACTTGGCTAAGGGATGGGGCAAGCAGCGTAGCTGAATGTGAGCCCAAGCCAGCAGCACCGTTACTGGCGGGTTAGTTGGCCAACTACCTGTTTACTTTTAGAGAGCACCCGACCCTAGCAGAACTCCAAAAGCTGAACCTTAACCTTGGTCAGAGCCAACATTAAACACGATGAATATTGTAGTCGGATAGGGCCCTCGATTCGTTCGTGGTGAAGCGTGAAACTGGCGTCTGCTCTCCTGCCAGTCGCCTCGTATGTAGTATGCAATGGCGGCGTGTGAATTCCATGAGAGCCGGTCCGATCTGGGAAAGTCTTACGGCCAAGAATCCATCACATGAGGTAGACGCGATCCACAATGCGCTGCTCGTCGATCCCTCAAATAAAGAGTGTTGTCAATTTAAGCTCCCCCGTTAGCGAGGCGGAAGAACGAAACCCCCACGTGAGTAGAGCCGAGCGTGGGGCGATAAGAGAAGGTCGCCAAGTCAATAGTTGCGTTAGCGGCGAGACTTACGTAGTGCGCCTCAAGGCGGCGCATAAGACGCTTCTGTATCAGGAGTTGCACGTTCCACGTTGTCCTTCAACTACGGCAAGAGATCCGAGTGGTACCCAGAGGCAAGGCATGCTTGATAGTAAAATTGGGCCGTCTGGAGGGCGCCACCATTGTATCCCATCGAGTGCAGAATGGCGACAGTACATTCGTCTCCAGCTTTTTTCCAAATCTACCTGAAGACGAATTTTTGATTGACGGATATAATGAAAATAATTCGGAATGATACTCAAGTCGCTATTTCCCCGCACGAGTATGTACCTGTCGCCATTCCGCACTCGATGGGATAGTTGTGAGCTGCGCAGGGATCACGGATCAGCAGCGTCACCGCTTGACAGTAATCATCCATATTTTTTCACCTTGGACAGCGCCAGACCCGGATGTATTGAAACCATCGTCTACCAAGGTCGACGATAAGCTAGAGTGCAGAGTTTCTGGGTCACAGCTATGGATAAGCAGAAAGGGATACTTAAAGCGAGTTTCTAGTATTACCACAAGGGTTGTCCGGAGTCACCTCCTAAGGGCGAGGCATTTTTTTCACTTTTGTTCAGCTACACATAGGAAGGCGGATAGCGATGAAAACCACCGTCGATTTGTCAGAGACACCACGGCCTCTGCAGAGGCATGGCCACCTTGTGCTTCGTCCCCAGCTGATCGAGCCAAGGTACGTCAGGCACCGAAACTTGTGCGAGTACATCCATGTCTGCATCCTGTTTCCTGCCAGTGGTCTCGTCTAGCCATCCCCATACCGAAACATCCTCTGGCCCCGGAACAATACCGGTATGCCTCTAACACAAAAAAAAAGCCGGCCAAACAAAGAAAAGAAGAAAGAAACAAGCCTTTACCACCCACCGCTGCCAGAGGCGCCCCCCTCGCGGACCCTACATTCACCTTCCACATACCGGCCCCGCGAAGTCCGCATCGAATGTCTCCAGACACGTCTCTCTAGGTGTCGACCACCGATATGCACGATCATGCTCAGCGTCACCCGCCGCTCGCGTGTGACGGGAATGCATCGATGGAGGCTTGAAGTCCACGCCTTGCCCGGCAGCAGCGCGGCGCGATGCTGCAAATGGTAGCTGTACTCCCTCCCGATGGACGTACATGCCTTGTCGGTGGTAACATGGCCCGTCCGTGTCTCCAAGGGCATGCATGCGATCGAACGGCCCATGCCGTCCTTCGCCTGACACCCATCACCGCACCATGACGATACCGCCGAGCCCTATAACATCGTCATTCCACACTCGCTGTGTTGGACATTTGAGGAAGGAATGCCGGAGGCGAGCGTGAGATACGGTAATCAGTTCCGAAGTTTGTGTTTGATCGCTTTCGGCGGAATGGAAGGTGCGGTGCGATAGTTGAACTAGCAATATCGGGACGAAGAGGATGTGTTAGGCGCATGCGCCCACGGTAATGAAGGTGACTAGGCTAGGCTAAGTTGCGACTCTCGTGGATGCATTGCGGAAGCAACGTGAGAGGAGGAGGCGAGTCGTTGCAAGGAGATGATAGAAATCCTAGTCCAATTGCGACTGTTGATCGGGAGCGCCAATGCAAGCTCCATTCAACACATCAATCCGTTTCCCTCAAATTTTCTCTCTGAAACATGTTGAAGTCATACTCGAGAATGATATGTAACAATAGTATCCTTGTAGCCATTTGAAGTAGCTGTGTTAACCTAGGCACGCTTATCATAGGTGACAAGCATATAATGAGAAGTAAGTAAATCGCAGGAAAGAAGAGAACAGACAAAGAAAATAAGGACATCTGGCTATGTGGATTACCAGGTGAACTTGCTTCTGAGCCATGGTGAGCAACTATACTGTACATTATACGCCTACCGTTACTTCTATATCCTGCTATACGTCTTAAAGGATCTTCTTCATTAAGGAATAGAGCCCAGTCTCCCGCCTTTTCCACCTTTCACCACTCGGAAACACCACCTTGCATAACTGTTGGATTCAGAGGTGGAAAAGGAAAATACTCGAGTATCGTGGGTAGCAACGATCACCGACTGTAGTGGTGATATTGCTTGTTCTTGTTGTTGTTGAGTGGAAGTCTAACCAGGTGCCAGCGGCGGCAGGAAGTCTGGGGTATACCACCCTCGTGTGGCTGAGCCACACGGACCACCGTGGCTGGAACGGACCGCGGCAGCAACCTCCTGCTGCCTAATGTAGGCCTATTCCAACAACAACCTATCAACCCAGGGTATTAATGGCTGGTAGTATATAATGAAGTACTCACCTGCATTTCGGATAAAATCTTCCTCATCAGTTCTCTCACCCTTTTTAGCCCGCACTAAGTTATTATCACTTTCATAGTTCCAATTATCAAACTCAGTTGGCCCAACATCTTCACCATCCCCATGATAATGAATGCATATCCAAAACAGGACCCAGAAGAACGACTCTAGGTCATGCATAAATGAATGTTGCTCGCCTAGCAACGCCCCAATAGCCATAAAGGCCCTCGTGCCGGTCTTTCCTTTCGCACCCGAAGCACCCTCTCGCTGCTCCCGAATGGCGAGGTCAACAGAATGAAAACCCGTTCTCGGAGAAACGGCGATTCCTAATGACATGCCATCCAAGCTTGAAGAATACATCTTCATTGCGAGAGAGCTCGAGGAACTTGGATTCGGCGCCAGATCCCTCCGGCAATTGGTCGGGCTTCGTGATGACACCGAGGGTACGCTCGCCTCTCGGATCGAATCTGCGAACACGTTGAAGGATCGGCTGGTTGGCCGCGTCGTTGGTTGCTGACACGACGGCCAGGCAAATGGTACGAGGCCGCTTGATGTAGCGGTCGGTGATGTCTGCGACCAAAGCGACGTCATTCTCGGTGACGCCTTTCGTAGCGGACTGAATCAGGCCCGGTACATCGATGAGAGTAAGCTGCGGGCGGTCAGGTCCGTTGATCTCGATGCTGAGTGTGTCCTTGGAGAAAGCGCTATCAAGTGCCCGGTCCTGCTGTGAGCTACCACCGCCCCCAATGCCGATGCCCATGACTCTCGTCGCAGCGTCGATGATGAAGGGCAAGTCCTTGAAATCGGTGATGGATTCCGAGAAATCTCTGATTCGTTTTTGATCTTCTTGGCCCCATTCATTGCCCGGGATCACCCTAACGGTAAGGCTCTCGGCGAGCTCTCGTCGGAGGCTAATTTCCGTGGCAAATCGCGTGCAGAGATTGTCGTTCCTCGGGAAAGGTATCTCGGTTAGTGCTTCCAACACGGAGCTTTTGCCGGCCGACTGATCCCCGCAGACGACGATATCGGGCAGGGAGAGGATTCCGTCGAGACCGCACTTTCGTAATTGCGTGATGGTGTCGAGTATCCTTCGCTGATCATCGGTCTGTAGCTCCTCGAGAGTTGAGCCGATTGCTCCAAAGGTTCTTCCATTGTCACAAAGAGGAGTTTCAGGCCTTGGCTCCTCTTCACCCACAGCCTCCATGATTTTTGAGAGAAAGGTTGTATGCTGCAATGCACAGGTGTCGGAGGCGTAGTCGATGAGCAGAATGTCTTGAGGGTATGGCTGAACAGTCCTGTCAGGGAGGAACAGCTTCGGCATTGAGTGGTAGAAAGTTAAGAATACCTCCTGGCTTTCTGAAGAGCACGACGACCACTCCGCATGCACTCCTTCGTTTGTCCATGTGCTAATTTCAAGCGTGCACTATCACTTATACTACCTTGGCCTGGAGAAATGTGTATCTGCGTCGCAGGTTCTTGAGGACTCGTGGAGAGCTGGTGCGGCAAACTGACGCGCTGGGCCTCATCCTATCACCACAGTCCACCCGCTATTTGTCTCGCTCCCGTAACGCCAGGCTCATCATAGCTTTGCAAGTAGCTTGCCGTCGTCCACTAAAAGGTGTCTTGCCAGTCACTGGTCATTGTGGCTTCCCAACAAAAACGTATCTCAACAGCTTTCCCCAACCAGTCACCCTCTAGATGCTGAGGTCCCCCTGCCTCTTCAGTTTAACGTTTGACGTCAGAAACCTAGCCTCGTACGGGAATTTGTCGCCCAGAAGCGCGGCCGTCGACACAACAAGGTCACTGCTATTCAATCAGCAGCGCCCACCAAGGTAAGAGGTCACGAATGAAACTGCAGCGAGGCGTCGACGCCCCTCCTCCATTCGGTAGTTGGGAAGGACTGGGCATGGTGTGAGGTTTCTGTCTTATTCGATATTTACCCTGCACGTTATGTGGCAGTCATCGCAGCATTGCGAGGTATATCCGGGCGTGGTGTAGTGCTGTTGTCCTGTGGTATCACTTTGGCAGCGGGACCACCCGTCTGAGAACAAGCCTCCACATCACACGGCGGCTTCCGAAAGCACTACTGAATAAACGGCGGTGACCTAGCGGAGTTGCGAAGCAATCAGTCAACGTAATTACCCATTGCCAGCAGAAACAGCTCGAAGCCTTGGCCTGGCTTGGGGCTCAAAGCAACAGCCCACTTACTGCATGCAGGTAAGCACCTGATAATGGGGCTCTCCTCTGAGCAATCGTCTCTACTCCGTACTGGACAAAATCTTGCATTCCTTCTACAGGCAGCGTGCACACGTAGCTCGCGCCGCACTGGTGTCACATCGTCCCCCTCGGTTTGCTTGCGACTGATCCCACAAATCAAATCCACGATTGGGTTAAGCTAAAGGCCCAGTCCTGATTCTCGCACATGTGAGATGCCAATTGGGAGCGTGACTAGCCAAGATGCTGTTGGCTCCGACTCGGCTTCTTAGGTATATTGATGCGCCTCATGCATGTCACCGTAGTGAGAATACCTAGAAGCGGCCGTTATGAGCGCTTCGAAGCATTCATGATGCAAGAATATGCATGGATGTAGTAGGTTCTGGCCTCAAGAGTGTGTTCTGCAGGGAAGTTGGGGGAAAATGGGACCGCGACGCGGCGCGACGCGGAAACGGCCAGAACTGTGGAAGCACCTAACTGTACCTCCACTAGCTTCCGTTAGGCAAGTCAGCGAGACCGGGATCGAGCTTATCGGCCCGCAACAGCCACTATAGCCGCAAACCTTGCATTCGTGATGTTTACGGCAAAACACCTGTCACCATGCATTGTCATACGTAGGGCTAAGGGGGTTCGTCACTGCCATTGCCAGTACTGCAAGGGGCGCACTGCGTTTTCACTTGTTTGCTCTTTCTCTTAGACCCACTTCTCTGTTAGACTAGGTACGGAGTAGAGAGAATCCAGCCTTGCCCCGCCAGACCACGTGGCAGGGGTTCGATGGGGCGCTTGTCCGCCGGCCTCCCGGGAGAGCAGCCTGAACAGGTGCGCCTGCAGCTGGTAGGCGGTCATGAGAGGCTCCAGGCCACACCCCTATGGGCCTGCAGTCGCGACGCTGCGGTCTGGCCCCGGCCCGCCCCCACATCAGGATGGAGGAGCCGCGCACGGGCACGCGGGGGACAGAGAATTTGGCCGGTCTTCTAAGCGCCGAGCCTGGGAAAAGCGGCCAATTCTTCTGACTCCATGTGGGACGGGTAAGATCCTTTCCAAGTGCGAAGCGGAGAACACGCAAGGGTAGTGCAGCGCGGCAAACCCCTCAGTAATTACTGCGTAGTACACGTAGAGAGTCCTCGATACCGCGATCGGAGTAAACGCCTCCAGGCCCGCCCACCTATATCCACTGCTTGAACAGGCGTGTGGCCTCCCAGCTCTTTACCGGAGTGCAGAGACTAGAACTGGACTCTTCACATTCTATCCCATCGAGTGCTGAATGGCAACAGTACATCCAGTGAGGGGTAATAGCCACTCAGAGACCAGCCAAGCCTTTTTCCAACCAATCAAAAGGCCTAGTTTTCTAGTACCTCTTCCGTCTATATATTCTGGTTATGAAATAGGTACCAGCAATCTTCTGAGTTACAAATCGTAACCCCACACTGCTCACACCCTGACCTCGTCTTCTTCCTATGGGATCGTGAGTTTCCTGAGACTTCGCTAAGCGCCTTCTTTGGCCGATTACACGCAACGCAGGCGGAGGCGCTCTTCCGCGAGACCATTATATGCTGTTGCCACGGAACAGAGTTATTTCTCGTATTGTCGGCTTCCGCTCGGGTACGTTGAAGGGGTTGAATACGCTGCCCCTTTCGAGGGATGGGGGCTCATATGGGCGTACGACCGCATTATCGCATCTCTCGGGTGTACAGTCAGCAGTACAGGCAGCGGCTAGGTCTTCGGGAAGTACGGCGACGTTGATACACGACTGTACCGACCCTTCGGAATCGCTAGAAGTCATCGCGACGTTTCATCACATAGGAAAATGTCGGTCTTGGTGGTGAAAATAGGGAGGAACCCATAGGGGTAAATGACGTACCGTCATGTATCGCTGTTGTGAGGGGGAAAAGTGGGTAATAATTGGGGGGGGGATGTACTGTTGCCATTCAGCACTCGATGGGATAAGGGATGCCCCTAGGAACTCAGGTTAGTCTCGCTAGGCCCTGTGCTAATAGCGTATATAGACCTTGCTAGACTACGTTAATGCCGGTTTAAATACTATTTTTCCTCTTAAAGCTCTCTTTCTAAAGATTCAATCTTTGTTAAACAGTCTTTTAAAAACTATTCCCTCTCGGCGTCCCGACGTAGGAGGTCCTAGATAAGATTCGAAAGCTTATTGATCTCGTTTTTAAGCTTAGAATTGTCTTAATGGTTGACCTATTTAACTACTCTGACCTTTATAGTCGGCTTCTGGACTCGTCCCGACCGCCGAGATATACCGGCGTCCTTATGAACCGTGATCGATGGCCCTATATCTAGGGAGACCGTTATGGTCGTGGAATTTAGCTCGTATGGGCTGATGTTGAGAGATGATAGTGTAGTGGGCCGTACCCCTCTAAAACCTTAACAATTACTAACAGTGGATACCTTTCGAGGTATGTGTGTCGCTCTGAAATAGGTGATGCGAGCGAGTGTGGGCCTCGGTGATTATGTAGCCGAGGTCACGTGACGGGTAGTGAGGCCACAGATGGTTGAAGTCATCACGACACAGTGCCGCTGAGCTGTACCAATTTCTTTTCCGAAATTTGCCCGAGTCATTGAACAGGAACGTTAAGTGAAGACGGTAGCCTGTAACATAGTTTAGATTAGCATAGACCATGTCGGCATGGCGCCCGGCACGTCCTTTTGTTACCAGACGTTAAATACATCATCATCATCATCATCATCATCATCAGCTAGATAATGCAGAACAAGGGAAAATGATGCGGAGTCATCATTATCGAAGCTTTTGCTTTGTGCCACAGTTGGTTGCCTTGTCCAGCTCGTAACACGTGGCCTCTGTACTTAAGACGGTCTGACCGTGACCCTCCACATAAGGGGGTCAACCTTGAAGATACAAATCACCCATGACCTACCATTGACGTTCACTTGCCCTTTCGCTTTGCTCTTTCACTTTGCTCTTCTGCGCGTGCTTCAATCGCTTTGCTCATTTCGCACTCTCCTGCCCGTACCTACACGGTCAGGCCACAGTCTTACCCCCTCTGTCAGAGACGGCTCTGTCAGAGAGACTGTGTCAGCTTATATATAGAATAGACTCGAGCCGGGCTCTAGGATAGACTTCCTATAACTTCTTTAATAATTAACTTCGTATTAGAACTTATAATCGCTTTTAACTATCTTCCCTAAGAACCTCTTTAACAAGACTATGATTGATCACCGAAGCCTTCCCTACCTTACGACCTACAGACATAGCTTCGTTGAAGCTATCCCGACTACGAATACTGTTATCAGTTCCGCAGCCTCAACTTCTGCAAACATACCTCACTACGACTAGCTGGCCGTAACATAGTTATGATGTTAATTATGTTAATAATAGAAGGAGGAAGTGTTACGACCCAACATGCATGACCAAGAACAGGGCCTGCCCCGCAGGCTTACGGCGGTTACGATACGCCATACATGCACAGGACAAGGGGACACAAGGCACCCTCTCACGGAACGGAAGAACTATGGTACAAGTCACGTAATGATAAGATAAGGATCATTTGGGATCAATATGATCCAACACGACTTGGGGGCTAAACGATCATTCTGGATCAGAATGATCCAAGACGACCCAAGGGACAAAGGACATGTTCAGGATCAGGACTTGTATATAGGATGGACTCGAGCCGGGCTCTAGGACAGACTTCCCATAGCTTCTTCAGCAATTAAGTTCGTATCAGGATTAACATCCGCTTTCAGCTACTACCTTGACAAGACTACGACTGATCACCGAAGCCTTACCTACCCTTACGATTGACAGACATAGTTTCCTTGAAACTATTTCACGACTACGATTACTGTTACCAGTTCCGCAGCCTCAACTTCTGCAAACTACCCCTACGACTAGCTGGCCGTAACAGGAAGATAGAGTAGACTGGGTAAAAGAGGAGGGAGGAAGAGAAAAGGAGCTCTCTAGTAAGGGGAATTCAGGGGGAAAATTCTACTCAACACAATAGAATATGGGTATTAATAGGGGGTAATTAGTATCTTAGACCTCAATAGGGGGGTAGTTAGCAGAATTACGGCACTAGAACATCTATTAATCCAGCTAACTTATATAATCAACTTCAGCCTCGAAGTTGAATTGATTGAGGGCAGATTTCTGGCAGTTGTTTGTTTTGCTTGTTGTTTTGATTGTTGAAGTTGCGTTGAGTGAAGCGCTGATTGCGGGTAGCCTGACGACGTCTCGATCACGTGGCGTTTCTCCCTAAGTAGATACCCGGGAGACGTATACGTACGTTAGACGAATTACCGCTGGTCGGTGATCTGCTTCTAATCGATTGGTATGAGAAACAACGAAAAGAATCCTCTATGCGTCGTAGTTCGCGTTTTGCGTTTCGCGATTTTCTCGGTAGTCGGTAATTCGGTATTGTCGACGGTAAGGTCGTTGGATAATTATCAAGATCCGTGGTGCTAATCTGGGCTTGTCTGTGATCCAGAGGCGTACTTGAGATCTACGCTTCAGTCTGCTTGAAGGATCTCTTTTCTTCCTCGGTCGCGTGGTGCCCTTTTGTGCTTGGGTCGAAGGGCTCGTACTTCACGCGTCGGAAGGTATAGTCGGTATATTGTCGCACGGGCGTAAGTCGCGGGCTGCGGAAAATAGATATAATTGTCACGCGGGCCGGTCGACCGTCGAAGGCGTTGCTGACTTGATGGACGCCTCCTCTCGTGAGATTCGAGAGGTCAAGGGAGCACGATTCCTCTATCCCGTTCGGTATTAGAGGGTCGTCTCTTCTGTTTTCGTGAGATGCCTTGCTGATCTGCGATAGTGGAATTTAACCACTGATTAGTGTTGGTATTCCTTTCATAGGGAATTTAGTTCGAACCGTAGGGTCCTGGGGGTGACGAAGTTTTAATATCTCTGTATTGATTGATTCTGCGTAAGGAGTAAAAGGGAGATTCCAACCGGAGGTTGGGTGGGTAGTCGAGGTCTAATTGTACTCCCTCGAGGTGGCCCATGCTCTGCCCTTACTCGCGGCCGAATTGGACTTCCAATCCGACACCTATATCATCCGCATACCCAAAGCGGCACCTAGGATTATCCAGGAGCGCGTCTACCAGGTATAAAATATAGAGGACTAAGAAAGCAGGGGAGCCCTATAGCAGACCGCAGCATAGAGGGAAACCCTCCGAGAGTCTCTTATCCATTCTAATAATAGCCACGCGGTAGGTCATAAAGGACCTCACAAAGCAGATAAATACCTCCGGCCAGCCTTGTTAACAAAGCCTGAATATGAGTCTATTAGGAAGCGTGGCGTTAAACGCCCCTTTTACGTCCATTATGACTAGGGTCGCAATAAGTCCACTTTCAAGTACTTCCTCTATATCATGCGCGGCGCATAAGGTCAGATCGACAGCACTCCGGCCAGGCAGCGCACCAAACTATTACGGGTTAATAACAGTATCTTATACTATACGGTATACAGTACGCCGCGCAAAGATGCGCTCAAGACCCTTTCCTAGGCATGAAAGGAGAGAGATGGGTTGTTGTCTCCGTCAAGATCGAATGTAGGAGCGGTAAGAATCCAGGGAAGAGGGGTGTTCTAGTCGAAGGGCCGGCACTCATCCAGGAATGGCAAAGCCAGATCTGGAGCATCAGGAACAGATCGACGTATGGCGTCTTCAAGGCGAAGGAGGTATGCGCGATGCCAAGTGTGGAACAAAACGGTTTGATGTTGGCAGTACCCTCCTCGCCAGTCGTCGTAAGTTGATCCGCCCGGATACGGATTTTCCTTCATCCAAGGCTCTCCATGATAGCCAGCTATGGTGAAGAAGGAGTCTTCATTACTTGGGTCAAGTTGCTGGAGCCTTCTGAAAGCTCTAATGATGTTCTCCAAGGTAGTGCGATCCTCGCCAGACGAGTATCTGTCGCACACATCTTGGAGAGAAGGACGGACTCTAGACATTGTGCTTGAGTGTTAAATTGGTGATATAACAGATATTTGGGAGGTTATCTCGGGAAGAGGTTGAGTGTTCTGCCGGCATTGAATGTGAGCTTGATATCATGAGGAATCTCGACGGCTTTATGCTACTCAGACTTCTCTAGGGACTTGTCAATGCCACCATCTTTGACGAGACAAAACATAGTGTATCCTTGCCTCCTCTCATACTCGAAGCTCAACTGCGGGGATTAGATCTCGATGGATCTTCGTGACTAGAGACATGCAAGACGACCTACCGTAGAAACTCGAGCCATTCAAACTTACATTAGCCCGTGCTCCCGCTGTCTTACCTGGCCTTTGGCCAATTACTGTCTCTATTCAGAATCAACGTGGCGGAGATCAACGAGTTTTTGGTACAGAGAGAGGCTTAACGCGTCTAGTGCACGGGCTAACGCAAGTTTGAATGGCTCGAGTTTCTACGGTAGCCGCCAATGAAATCCAAGTTGCGTCATGATACGCTAATGATTGTCCAGGGCGGTTGGATGCGCAGTGTTGTCTCACCTCGCTCAGACTCTTGAGCGACAGAATAAGAGACATTTTATGCCCGAAGAATCTTCGTTCTTTTCGAGCTACATCCAAACTCTCACAATGTCGGATTGGAAGCCCAATTCGACCGTGAGTAAGGGTAGAGCAGGGGCCACCTCGAGAGGGTACAATTACACCTCGACGGTCCACCCAACCTCCGGTTAAAATCTCCCTTCTACTCCTTACGCAGAATCAACCAATACAGAGATATTGATACTTCGTCACCCCCAGGACCCTACGGTTCGAACCAATACCCTGTGATAGGGATACCAACACACAAGGATTTTATTACATGTGATCGTACGTCGATCAAAAATGATCCACAGGTGCAAGCTTCCGGTCCAGCGGCGCCACGTACGATATCACCGGTATATGTTGTCAGAAGAGAAACGGCCGTGTATCACAAGGAGGAAGAATGCAGGACGCGTGTTCTCGCGGAACAAGCCGTTCATACCCTCCCGACTTCTGTACCTGTACATGAACATGTCTGCCAGGAAGCATGAGGCCCCTAGAAACAAACAAAAGGTCTAGCAGATCAAGTCAACAGAAGATCGTCACAGATCGGTCCCAATATTGACATAAGTTGCTTGCGCCGCTTCCAGCTGGTACTTAAGCTCCATTCGAAAACGCTGCGGAATGAACAAGTAGGTATCGGCATCTCTCATCACGCTGCAAAGTCACAAGCTTCGATACATCTTCCGGGCTAATCAAACACAGTGACTAGTCATGACTGCCAGTTTGGTTGAGCAGTAACTCAAACGTCGCATTCCCAAGGATACCGGAGTTGCACGCGAGGCGCTAAGGGTACGGCGGTTGCCCGTGTCTCGCCGAACTGTTTTCGTACGGCCAGAAACCAGTCTCCGTTGGCTGTTTCCATCAGAGACGGGACTCCAGACTTGGGACTGAACTACGGCCATGTCAGGATTCGTAGCAGAAGCGGGGAAACGCGAGACAATGACGTAAACCCTCTCTGATATGAATCTCATCGGTTGTCTCGGTGAAATAAGCTAGTGCAGTTCAGGTCAGCCGACTGTATAAGATCAGGAGTAGAGGGGCGACTGCCAAGTAAAACGATACCTACTAGTTCTGAATACTGATTACTGAACCAGGCAATTTTTGAGATGAGACCAAGGGCATTGATCAAATAGCAATTTCGATATCCATATTGACAATCTGAAGTGAAGAGATCAGCGTTCAGGGAATTGAATCTGAGACACACATGCGGTCGAAAGATATCTCTGTTCTGTGACAAACGCTAGGCAGATTGAAAGAAAGTTGTTCCTGGTATTTCGCTATCTAGATTGGAATTGGGCTCATGGATTATGAGGGGGTGACTGATGCTACGTTGGACCCATAGTCGTTGTCGTGAAACGTATTGGGAAACGCAGTATTCTGCAGATTTTGTGTCATGCACCTATAATGCATCGAAAGATGCTTAAGTCGCAGCCTTGATCTAAATTGTTGTATAATATTGAATCGACGCGTTCTCTTCTAATCACAATGCTCTCACCACATAAGTCTTTCTTCTCTGAGTCTTCTAACTCTAATCCCAATTGATAGTAAGCTTCGCCACAAAAAGTCGCCACGTCCACACCCCTGCTATTCTAACATAATGTGCTCGAACCTTTGAAGTCTCTAGAGAGCGGCTTGAATATCTTTTTTCAAAGGCCGCATGATCGATTGTTGGTTCATAATAGCAACCATATTCCCTTGTTGATCCCAAAGTCGGGCTTCGGTGTAGGTTCGGCCGTCGTTACCGGCGATAGTCTTCATCTCTCTAAGGTGCCAGTCCCCCAGGTTGATGTCTCCGGTGAAGAACCTCAACGCAAAATCAAGCGAGGAGCAAGGACCAGCGTCGTCAAGGAACTTGCTGCTGTGGGTCAGGGGGATGAAGGACAGTGCTGCGTCCAGGGTGAACCCCAGTCCAGAGAATCGATCTTGGAGTCGTTCCAGGGGATGGCGGCAGCGGAACCAATCGGCAGATGTCTTTGATGTCAAGCCAAGACTCTCTTGGGGCGTCTTGACAGTCTTGGCCATGCCGTAGAGGTTGTTCGGTGCAACTGTCTCCGGGCAGCCGCGGGTCTCGAAGAAGCGGCTGTTAAAGCCAAACGTGGCCAGGTACAGATCCCCCAGCTTTTTTGTCACAACGCCCCTCCGCACCTTGTCTTCGGTTGCCTCTTGTGTTGTGAGACATTTCTCAGGTGGTGAGTAGCTCATTGATGGCGGCGCAGAGTATACGAGAAGAGAAGCCTCTTCTTTCACTTGGAAGTCGGCCAGCATGATCATGCATAGTCTGGATTTGCCATCGTCCTGATCTTGGCTGATCTCAACCAATCTGGTGGCGAAGGTTTTCGTATCGCGGACTCTTCGGACAGCACATTTGAGCTTGCGGTCCGTCAATGCTGGGCCTAGGTAGTTGCCCGTCGCCGAATAGAGCAGGTACTTGGGTGATACAGTGCTGCATGCCGCTTGAACGCCGATGCTGATGGTACATCCTCCGTATGCAATATTTGCCTTATTTCCCATGCGGGCGGGATCGACGCGACTGATGAAGTGGTCTGATCCCAATTCGTCTACCGCAACTTGCTCCTGCAACGAGCTGGCCATCGAACCATGAGACATGTTGAGTAATTCGAATATCGATCTTGGCCTGGTCTGTCGAATCGTATATCCTTGCTGTGATTCACACAAAGTTTAGACGGAAATGCGACGCTGGTTTCGTTGATGAGATGTTCAGTAATCAAGCGATGTCGGCTCTGGGTCTGTGTCCTTCGTTGTTCACATCGTTGCCGCTTAGTCGCGTTGGCGCGCCGCCTCGGCGCCTCCAACACATTGGAGAAATGGGGAGCCGTTCACAGCCGAGGTTGGCGTTTTGAGGAACGTGAAGGTGGGGCAAGCCTTGGCTGCGCTAACAAGTTAATTGGCTTTCATGGTCAAAATATCTGTATGAACATGGATTTAATGAGGGTTGATGCACTCCTGATGAGTTGTTAAATGAAGTTACGGCTCTTGATGTTTCTTTTACGAGAATCGGTGGCATCTGTACTGATGCACTACAAGACTTAAATTTACTGGGACCTTGGAGCAGAGTGCTGTAATTGTCGACCCCAAATCTAAACCTGTGTTGCTTTGGCCGGTTGGGTGGTACTATGGCAAGGAAGGTTGGTGGTGGTATTCCAAGGATTGGGACTGTCCATACACCTCTGCAGTATGTGGGGCCGAGGACATTGTGTCCGTGATCTCGGACTATGACTTGCCTTCAACTTTGTGGCGCCTCGCTACCTTGTACCGCAATTCGGGCTAAGCTTCAGGCATATCGCTGCATGTGATATTCAATTTGTAACTCATTACTAGACGAGCTAATCCGATCGCTCCTGTGTAAGTACAACCTCACATGTAGGTCAATACAAAGGAAAAAAGAGTTCACCACCGATGTGGCTACATCTCTTGATGCTCATGCTGGGAATCGAACTCGAACGCGTAGCCTATCGTCGATTAGGCTGTAGGTAGGCGTGATTAATTATTGAATTTAAACCACTCCACCAATCAGCCGGTTTATCCTGACCCCCCGACCTAGAGGGGCGCCTGGTGTTGCTGGTGACAAGAATGGGAAAGAAGAGGGGCATAAAGGCTTCCCGTATCCCATCGACTGCAAGTGGGCGTCAGTACAATTGCCCCATTTCTATGCTCCACTTCTGCCCCTCACAAAAGGGGTAGATGTGCAGTACATCACTTGGCCGCCGTTTTCATTCCCATACTTCCACAGCGATGGGGCGAGCCAGACTGGCAGCAGTTGAAGAGTCAGTATCAATGGCGAAGGAAACTATCTACCCAGCTTATTCAGCACTTCGGGCCATTGGTAAAGGCGCCCCAGCGTGCCCGGCCCCAACGGGCAACAGACAAGCGGAACAACACTATTCCCTGGCAGCAGCATGTTAGGAAGAAGCGAGGAAGCTGCTCGCCGTGCTCTGCTTGTAGCAGTCGCCCTAGAGCAAGGCAGGCTCTGCGCGAGATCTCTGGGAATAGTGGCAGAAGGAAGTACCCGAGGTCAGGATGCCAGGAATGCAATGTGTCTCTATGTAACTCAGATGTTTGCTGGTACAACTTCCATAACCAAACTCTCTAATGAAACGAAGTACCTCCGAACGAGCTTTTTTGGTTGGCTAAGATTTTGGTTGGCAGAGCTTTGATTGGCTGTACTCCGCACTGGAGATGTACTGACGCCCACTCGCAGTCGATGGGATATTCTATCACCTCAGTTGACAATCGGGTGTGTATTCAGTATTTACCTCTCAGCTAGTATTCAGGCGTACTCCTGTCGTAACGCCACACGTGGGGTTGCCTATTGCTACAGTCTGCTATCACAATGCAAGAGCTCGTCTCGTCTGAGTATGAGTATGCGACCCTTTACAGGTCTCTCTTTTAGAAAAGTCTAGCCAATTTCAACGCTATGTCTATGTCTTCAATTTGATCCCTCGCTTTATACCTTTTCCACTCTACTGGGTACACGATAGACTATGATTGTTTGTTTTATATTTAACGCCATGGCGGCAAGGGCGCAGCCGCCCTTGCGGCAGACCTCCCGGAGGGTATGTGGCGTGAAGGGTCGCAGGCTCTAGCTATATACTATATAGTACACGCCGTATCCTGACGTCCTCCAAGTCTTGCTCGTGAGCTACTATGTGTTCTATCCATCCCTAGTTCCCACTGGTGCCCTAGTTCCGTTATAACTATCTGGTTTCTTAACAGAGGTAGTTTGTCGTTTGGAGGATAGGTTATGACCTATCTTCTAGTACCGCGGGCAGATCTTCTGGGAGAAGTCTGTCACGCAGAGGAAGGCCTGGAAGCCTTCAGAGTCAGTGATTAGCCCCTTGAAGTAGCGATCGAGGGACCCTATAGGTCCTACGGGCTCCTGGCGGCTGTAGGGGTAGAGGGTGGGCCGCTGTTGCCTCCTCAGTAGGGTCTTTCGGCAGTAGACTAGATGGTCTGCCTCCTTAACCCATCCACAGGAGCAGGTGAGTAGTGCTTCTGTGTGGTTAAAGCGTTGGTGATATTGTTTAAAGTCCCCGTGGCCTGACCGTGCCGCGAGGAGGTGATGAAGGGCAGCCCTAGGGAGGCCAAGTTCAGGAGGGCAAGCAAGGGTAGCCTTGAGCCCTAGTTGGGTATAGCGGGGAGTTGCCTCTTGTTTCCACCATCGTCTATATTGGCGTCTTGGCCGCTCTTTAGCAAGCCACTTGATACCTGATAGAGTAGCTAGTTGGCCCCTAAGAACTGGTAGAGTTGTTCCCTCCTTAGCTAGGCTGTCTGCTTCTTCGTTTCCTTTAATACCTTGGTGCCCAGGAGACCAATGGGTTTGTATATCGTGTATCCTAGCTACCTCCTGGATCTCAAGGAAGGCCGCTTTTGAGGAGTCTGGGACCTTACCGCGAATCCCCTGAATAACGCTGGTATTGTCGATGCAGATGTGTATAGGCTGGCCTTGGGAGGTCTGAAGGGCCCGTCGGAGCCCAGCCCTCGCCCCCTCCGCCTCACCATCAAACACTTCTGCTAAGCCGAGACGGCCGCAGCCCTGGGCTATACGTTTATTGTTGCGGTAGATAACAAAGCCGTACCCTGTAGCTTCGTCAGGAGCTTTGGAGCCGTCTGAGTATACGACTGTATGCTGACCTGGCACAGTCTTGAGCCAGGCCTGGAAGATCCTAGCTGCTACATCCTTCGTCTGTGTAACTATAAGTTCATAAGACCCTGGAAGGTATTGCGGCTGTAGGAGTGCTGGCCTTGGACACTTAGGTAACGATAGACTATGAACCAATGCCAGTTGTTATGGAACAGGGAAATTTTTAATTCAGAAGACCTGGAAGATGTGACAACTGTTCATAAGCCTGTCTGAAACCCAGCGATCATAATCAGATATCAAACTCATAGTCTTAATTCTCTCGACATAAGGTAATCAATCACTCAAGGTTTTCAGGAAGGCGACGGATGCAGAGCTTTCTAAAGATTCAGTCTGAATCATACCAACCCTTCCCTCAATCAAGGTGTGATCGCCTAGCTCTTGACATATAATAGAAAGCCACGCTGTAAGTTGGATCTTATGAAGGAGCGCGACTATCGATCTAGTTTCAGTGGTTCTGATGTACTTGTATCCCATCGGGTGCTGCTTGACCCCATTTTTGCCAAGCCCGAAAATACCCAATATTTACCTACTTTTACTCCGCATTTAAAGGGATACATGATAGTACGTCGTGTACCCCTATGATTTCTAACCTACTTTCACCACTAAAACCACTATTTTGGTTAATGCTGTGATGTCTTCTAGCAATTCTGATGCTTCTGACGCTTCTATTACTTCTATACGTAGCTGTATAGTAGTTGAGGTCCTTCCGGAAGACCTTATTACTGCCTGTAATATAGACTGTACGCCCGAGCGCTGTGACGCAGTAATAGTCCGGCCTTACGAACCTCCAGCTACTGAGTATGGTCTTCCGGGCTCCTTCCGGCCCTTTAACGTGCCGGCCCGGGCCCAAGAGGTACGGTAGCTACCGGCAAGCCCCCTAGAACTATTTGTCCAATACGTTCCGAAGGGTCTTGTAGAGTAGTGGACCTAGTGGACGAATATAGCGCCGTTATCTAAGGAGGGCCCTAGGGCCAGAACGTCTAGAGTATATAAGTAGAGGAAGACTTTAGTAGAAGAGATCTACCTCTTCCTAGGAATCCTATTATATATAGGAATATATAGAGAATCTAGATTATTAACCTACTGGTCGACCTAGTAGTAAAAGGAGGACCCTATTGTTACGCCCGCCGCAACTTGTCACTGTGGGCGCGTAGCTATATAATGCAGAACAAGGGAAAATGATGCCGGAGTCATCATTATCGAAGCTTTTGCTTTGCGCCACAGTTGGTTGCCTTGTCCTGCTCGTAACACCTATCTACCTATTTATGCGGTTTATATCCCGGGACCGTTTCTAATTACTACTCTAGCGACTACGGATATTTAACATTGCTGAATTCCAGCCTAGCCAGCCAGCCTAGCCCAGTCAGGGACGGGGTCGGGGCCGGGGCTAAGATCAAATGCCAGATGTATACCGGAAGGTTAACCAGTGGTCATCCTATATTTAAGAGACTGGGGATTCCCTTTATATACCTGGTTCCGACCTTACAGTTGACGAGGTTATGGTACGATTTATAGGTCGATCTCTAGAGACGACAACGATTCTAACAAAACCTATCCTAACCGGCTATAAGATCTGAATCCTTGCCTAGTCTGGCTACTGTGTACGGTGGCTGTGGCACGTACATGGAAAGGGCCCATACGCATTAGTCCCCCAGGCCCAGCCTACCCAGCCAGCTACTAGAAAGCTAGCTCTATTGACAACGACGCAGCAGGTAGTAACTACCCTTATTTCCCTTCTTCCAGCTGCAACCTACCACGTATTTCTGGATAACCTCTTCGCCTCTATACGTCTCTTTCGTACCCTGTGGAATCAACAGGTTGGAGCTTCTGGTACCTGCCGGAAGGATAGTGGGATAGATGAGATCCTAGTTGCTGAGAAAGAGACTGAAGGACGGGGTATCCCCTGGAGGGAAATACACTGTATCCTAACTTTAGATGGAGAGGTAAGCTATCAGATAGCCAGCCTAGCCCTGTCCTACCTTGCCTAGTCTAGTCAGCCTACCTATCTAACTAGCCAATAGGTCAACCAGTTCACCTGGAAGGATAATGCCCTTGTACTCTTCCTGTCCACTGTCTTCTAGGACGGCCAGGAAGTTATCCGCAGCCGCCGCCGCCCAGCTAGGGGTTCCGCTGCTAAGAAGGCTGCCCGATAAGTGTTTGGCTTAGACGTCCGTAAGAACCTTTTAGTGCCTAGGGTAGTCGATGAGTATAACCATAAGATGAATAGGGTTGATGTAAGTGACCAGATGAGGTCTTATTACTAATATAGCCACCCTATTCGTCGAGGGGGCTGGCAGTCAATTGCGTGGAATTCCCTGCTAGAAGTGGTAGTTGTGAATAGCTTCCTACTGCAGCTTTGGGGCAGCCCTAGATGGTAGAAGGTGAAATCACATTACTAATAGCGGTAGCTGCTTGTAGCCTAGCTTATTCAGCAGTTCGGACTATTAGTACAAGGGCGGCAGAGGTCACAGCCTAAACGGGCTATAGATAAGAGGAATACCTCTATTCTATGGGAACAATATAGATAGGGGTCGAGGAAGGTTAATTCGCCTTACTCTTATTATAATAATCTACGGGTAATAAGAGCCCGCTAGACCCTAGGTGAGATATCTAGGAATAACCTCGCTCGAAAAAAAAACACGGAAGAGCTACTTAGACTATAATGTACCGTTACGTATTGATAGAGATTGCTGGTACCTCTGGTATATGCAGAATCTATAGGCGATAGAAGTATTGCACCTCTATTAGTATTGGTTAACTCAATAGATTCACAACACCTTATTGGCTCTACCCTGCCCTTGGAGAAAATGGGGTCAAGCAGCACCCGATGGGATAACGGTCTCAGCCGTGGGTATCTCGTATTCTAGTCACTCAAGACTTCTCATAACTACTATTAATTATATACAGTATTATTTTACAACCTAAGACGAACGGCAGGCAAAGGGCTTGTGGGCGCTTCCAGAGCTAGTCTCGTCAATCTTTTGGGTGTTAGTCTGTTGAACGTAGAGGATTGTAGTAAAGTGATTGAACTTACAATATCAACAATAGTCGAGTAGGTTCCGGCGACCAATGTGACAGCTCCGACGATGAAGGCCAAGATGCTGCCAAGGCTGATGAGGATGTTCTCGCGTGCGAACCACTTGCCCTTGCAGAGGAGGGTGAACCACATGATGGCAGGGATGTAGAACGAGAATCCAGAAACAAACAGAGCCGAAGCCAGCGAGAGCAGATCGGAGAAGATAGGAATAGCCTCAGCAATCACCCACGCAATAATGGTGAACACAATCACAAGGATGATCCAGCTAGCCCAACCCATGGGAGTGTTGATGTACTTGAGGTGGGAGTTCTTGTATATGCGGCCGTGGATGTATCGCAGGGCAACAGTCGAATTAATCGAACCGGAGATGAAGATGACCGGGATAGCGACTCCAAAGGCGATCTTTGAGATAAGGGGTCCGGCGGAGAGCAGGGCTGGAGATTGAACCGAAGGACCGATGAACGCGTAGCAAAGAGCGCCAGTAAGAGTGTAAATGGCAATCTGGATGGCGCCAGTGGCCCAGATAGACTTCATGTAATCGGTAGGCGTGTGCATTTCGTCCATGAAAGAAAATTGACCGATGGCGAAACTGAAGGCGAAAATGATGTTGCTGACAGCAACAAAGGCCTCGGAGAAGGTCACACCCTCCCTGGGCCAAGCAGACCACTCAATGCTGGAAAGGCCGCCAGGGCCGCTGTTGGCCTGAATTCCAGTGGCGATGACGGTGATTCCAATAGCAGCCAGAATCGAGACGAAGTCGATGTAACCAAGAATGGCCACCTCGGTGAAGGAGGGCGGGATAGCAAGAATCAGGAGGATGATAGCTGACACAGCCGAGAAGACAATGGAGCAGACTTGGCCGCCGTTGATATCAACGAGCGCAATGCTTCCGGTCAAGGCGTGGGAACCGACAACCATAACAAGCTCGAGAACAAGGGCAGCTCCGAAAATCTCGTATCCGATGCGTCCGTAACGACCAAAGAGAAGTCTTCCGGCTTCCGCGTAGTTGGCGACATGCGGGTGGGCCAGCTTGACCTGACCAACGATGTAACTGGTGAAAATCGAAAGCATACCAATGGTGATGGTAAGGAAAACGCCGGGGAACATTCCGAGGGTGTGGTAGGCGGAAGGCAAGCTGAGAGCGCCAAGGGCAACAGCCTCGACAATGGTGACAATCGCCAAGCGCTTCCAACCCAGACGGTGGAAGTGGGCGCTGCCCTGGGCAGCGATCTGCTTCAGGCGGTCGTTGTTCATCTCGTCGCTCGTCTCGCCGAGCATGGTGTTGTCGTTCATCTCGGGCCAAGGGTTAGGGGGCTGAACCATCTCGGCATCAGGTCCGTCCTCCTTGTGCTTGGAGGTCTTATTGCCGTTGTTGCTGTGGTCGGCCGTGTTGGAGATAGCGTCCGTCATGATGGGAGAAGATGTGATTCAACCGCGGCAAAGTTGAAGACGATTGGTGGACGACAAGAGACAGTCCGAGGAGAGGTCGTTGGGTTGATGAGATGGAAGAAGCCAACTGAGAGAGGAGGGCCCGAGGAGGCAAAAACGGCACGACGCGTCTGACGTTCCTGACTTTTAAACGATCAACGTACAGGCACGAGTCAGATGGATTCAGGGTCCACATGGTGGTAGACGGACTGGATTCATCCTTGACAGAGGTTGTCGTCAGTTCGGTGGCCCGGTGAAAGCCGGGCCACCTCCACAGAATGATCTCGCCCCCATGGGCGGGAAAGATAACAGATCGCCCTGCAACACGGGGAATGCATCTCTGAGTTGATAAGATCTAATTGTTTTGTGTCACTTCTGTCAAATTACCCCGTCAGCTCTGAATTTCGAGGTCCCTGAGTGGGCGTTCTTCGGCCTGTTCTTGACATTGACATTGCGGAGGGCGCAACGAGGAAGTTTTGATGTCGTAAAAGAAGCTTTCCATGGCATGTTGGAGCCGCGCTAAGAGACCCGCTCGGCGGTTCTTGATGGAGCCTTTCTCGATTCAGAAACACAAGCGAGGAGCTTTTAGGTAAAAGATGGAGACCGTTGCGGCTCCCGCGAGATTCAGATGAGTGCAAGAATTTTCCTCCAGCAAAGCCGAGCAAAAACCGCCGCTAGCCACCGCGTCAATATGACTTCGCCGTCGAGTCTTTTGCCTGCCACGGAGCCTGTCCGGAGGTCCAAGCGGGGCCGTATTACGTCCGTGAAATCTCTCTATTGGGCGGACTTGCCGGTTTGTTCCTTTTTTATTCAAGGGCTGGACTTGTTAAAAGGTGGAATTTATTGCCTTTACGGTATGCCAAGTGACATACAGACTTGCTCACCAGTCAACAGAGATAAGAACTTGTAATTTGTTATGGTAAAGAGTTGATAAACAACTATGGCAACATGGGCTTCTGCTGAGCTGGTCTGGAAGCACAACATCAACACTGAACTCACGTCTGATGCCTCGACCCTTGCGCATATCTCTCCAACTCCCGTTTGTGTTGAAGGGTAACGGCTGCAGGCTTTAACCCTCTTTGGTCATGGCGCGAAATTTCTCCGATCTTGGTTCCTGCATCTCGGGTTTGAATGGCGGGCTTGGTCTGGAGTCTGGACGCCCCACCGGCTGGAGATGGAGTCCATTTTCTCAAGGCGGTTCTTCAGATTCGGGGTTTGCGTACGGAGTACTGGTAGCATGTATGGCCCTCCACGTGGCACCTACCCGGCTCTGGTTCTACCAAGTTGGGTATCGCTACAGACCATCTGCAGTGTTTGAGCAAAGTTTATTGGGTAGAGACTAAAGAAGCCCACCAGTCTACCAGACGCCTCGATCTTTACTAAAACCCTCTGTCATCAGTTCGTCCTCCAGAACTGGTATGGCTTTGAACTTTACCGCTTCAATTTTCGCTAGCATATTGTATGATTTGAAGCAAAAAGATAATCGTCACTTGATTCCTCGAGATTGTCACTTGTGGACGGGGAACTTTAAGCCTTTGGAGGAACTATTTAATTCCTGACAGAGAAGGAGTAAGTGCAACGACAAGCTAAAATACTTGCTTCAAGCACTTGTTTAAGTTGTTGCAAGGGCATCTCCTCCCTATCACCGACTGGGAAAGAGCTTGTCCTATGAACAAGAGCCTAGGTTGCGAGACCCGCTAGGTTGTGCCTAGCATTGTTCAAACCGGTGCTAATGCTGGGGCAGGCACTGTTGGTATATTACACGTCAGCAGGGCAACCGTACGGTTGGAACGAAGTGTCAATAATGGTCTATTATTGCTGCGTCTAGAGGTGGAAGGAGGAGATTGTGGGCAGAGCCCACGATCTCCCAGAAGTGGTATATAAGTGAAAGGGCCGTTTGTAAGTGCCCATACCGCCTTCCGGATCCATCTTTTCTGCCGACTGCTCAGAGATCCAACAGGCACATCCAATCGGTAAACATAGACATGGCCATGCTGCATGCACGCATCTCACTCATTTCATACATGAACTATACGTTGTGCATACTAGTATGCTTCCACTGCTTCGGTCGTTCCATTTCACTTGGTTATTGAAGTCGTGCATGATGATCGGGATTCAGGCGTCTAAATCCGTTATCGTGATCTCCTATCGATCACTTAGCGTATTGCTTATGTGATCGGTTCGCCCACCGACCCAGGTCTACGGAGCGGAGTAGAATTTGCTGGCGCCAATCGAATTCAGGCCTCATCCGCTTTGAGACTAAGGTCGACCAGAAACGTCTGCTCACAGAGACTCATCTGTCCGCCTCCTGCTCGGCTCAATTATTGCTCCGCTCAACTTCAACATCGTAGGCGAAACTTCAAACGGGATTCGGGGTCCAACTACGCTCCTACGTTGGTGGTCATATATTATAAGCAAATCGACTTCATTCTGGTCTGCGTTGTAGTAAAACTACCACTGTTTATCCACTTTTGGTCCAAATGACTTCCTCGATGTTAGCTGTTACGGCGCCAAGCTATTGCGAACCGTCCGCATATGAGCTCTCCACGATCCCTCAGCCAGTTGTGACGGAGCCTACTGATGTAGTATTCCGTGTCCACGCAGCGAGTATCAATCCCGTTGATGTCAAGAAGGCAGCAGGAGTATTCAAGCTTGCGGTAAAAGAGACGTCCGTCATACACTGTAAATCACTACCTATGCGATGACCTTGTCAGCTGACAGCATGAGAACAGATTTCCGTACCAAATCGGTTACGACTGCTCAGGAACCGTAACGGAAGTGGGCACGGATGTCAAAAGCATCAAGGTTGGCGATGAAGTTTACTCGCGGCTACCAGAGGCGAGCCGAGGTAAGTAGTTACGTGCCTGAAAGACGCGATAGACCGTATGTGCGGATGCTGAACTTTCAACTACTTTCAAGGAGCATGGAGTGAATACGCCAAATGTTCCCAGAACTACGTCACTCTCAAACCCAAGAATCTCTCTTTTGACGATGCCGCTTCACTGCCATTGGCAGGCATGACAGCCCTGCAAACTTTGGGACGGTACGAGGGATCGTTATCAGGCAAGACGGTGTTCATACCAGCTGGCTGTGAGTGGGATACTTCAATGTCTACGCCAGAAAACCGCTAACATAACTCTTGGAAGTGAGTGGCACTGGCGCGTATGCGTGTCAGATCGCTAAGAATGTCTTTCATGCCGGCAAAGTGATCACCACTGTCTCAACATCAAAAGTAGACAAAGTGCCAGAACTGCTTGGCAAAAACACTGTTGACCAAGGTGAGCCTCGATCAAGCTACTTCAATCAAGACCACTACTGAACCAGAATCAAGTCATCGACTACACCAAGGAAGACGTCACCAAGGTCATTTCTCGTGGATCCATCGACTTCATCCTAGACACAACTGGGGATTCGATGTCATTCCTGCACCTCATGACACCATCCACGGGTCTGATTGTCTCTATCGCTACGCAGCCTTCCGGCACTCAACTTCAACAATCCAGCGTGATGAAGAGACCAGATAACCCACGTCTCCCATGGTATGGGCTCATGGTGTTGAACCTGGTTGATTCGTATCGTAGGGCACGCGCAAGACGCTGGGGTGTCATGTACGAGTACCTGTTCCTTAACCCCAATGCCAAGGACTTGGAAACTTTGACTCTTCACGCAGAACAAGGAGACATCCTTCCCGTTGTTGGTTGTAAAGTCGACTTCAAAGATATCGACCGCGTGAGAGCAGCGTGTGCAACGGTGTATAACGGAAAAGGAGGAATTGGGAAGACAGTGTTCAACATGATTGCGAATTAGATAGTTTCAGCACATGCTGTCATTTGCAGCTTCTCGCACGATATGTATTCAAGATACCTCACAGCGAGTAGCAGACACCCTTAGTCATACTTCTTGAAAAGTAGCCGATATCAAACTGCTGTGAGATGAAATGCTAAAGCTTGACTGTTAGAGGACAAGATAGAGATTAGAGCCGGCGACGTAAGCCTACAGCATCAGCAGTATGGTCTGGTCAACGAATGGTGGTCAGGAACGGAAACGAATGAGCGAGTGGTCACACTTCAAAGTTGCGCTGAACAGTTTGAGCCAGAGCTTGGCAGTAATAAAAATGATGGGATCATGTATTTCTTTTAAACCTACTTGATGCGATAGGCAGGGGCTTTCTACGCAGTCTCTAGTGCCAGCCTTTCTACTTACATGATATATCTATGCCTGTTGACTTCTAGATGGCGTTTTCTTCCCTCACTACATAAAGTAACGACCAGTTGACAAGAGCAACAAGCGTAATGCCCCAGAATGGTGCACCAACAAAATTGTTGCTAAGTCCCCAGCCTAGGACAGTTCCTCCAATCGTAGGCCCAAGCATGCGAGCTGCAGCCGAGGTGCTCGACGCAACACCATGCACAGTGGCTAGCAGGGCAGGGTGCGGAGCAGAATCGTTGACCAGCATGATCGTTGCTGGCCCAACAAACGTCCTTGACATGACTTGTGCACTCAAGATGATAGACAAGAAGGGCCACAAGAGCGGGCTCTTGTTCGACAACAGGGCGAGATAGGGTAGTGAGCAATACGCCAGCGCACTGAACGGGAGGAAGGTGCGGTAGGACTGCAGCACGCCCAGCCTGCTGCTGATCCAGGGGAAGAGGAGGATTTGGAGGGGAAGGCCGACAGCTCCAATGACTGTGTTAGCAAAGCCAACCTTCTGAGACGACAGACCAAGACCACCGGTGAACCGGAATGGAAGTTGAGCATTGGAGTTGTCTGCTTGGGGTGCTGGCAGCATAACAAACAGAATGGAATTGAAGGCAGAAACGTGTAGAGCTGATGAGAAGTTCTGAACCAACGTCAAGATAACATTGCGCGTACAGATAGCACGCAGAGGCGCCCGGCCCTTGTCTTCCACGGGCTTGTTAGACGAAGATTGGTCCTCGACGTCTCCCGCTTCGGTCGGCTCGTTTCCATTTCCAATGAGATGATAATCACTGGGCGGTCTTTCCACTCTGAAGACCTTTCTGAGAAGAAAGCGTCCGAGGTCCCGGCCTCGATCTCGGCGATGTCGCCGGAGCGGGTGCGTTTCGTCCAGTCCGAGAACTACTCCCAGGGCCGCAATCATCAAGATGCTTGAGCAAACAAAGTTTGTCAGGGCGTATGGAAATCGAATCATCCACTCGACTCCATTCTCACCACCGAGAAACGAGCCCGGCCCGAAGATTGAGGGGAGAGATGCAATAGGGTCGGCAAGAAATCCACCCAGAAGAGGTCCGATGATGACGCCAACGTTGAAGCACATTGGAAGTAGAAGAAAGGCGCGAGACCGGTACCTGTTCAACTTTTAGTACTGATCAAGGGATCACAAGTGAAAGGGGTATCAGGTCACGCGTACCTTTTGTCTTCAACAATTTCCGAGATCATGGTCCTGAGAACACCTACGTTCCCATTCAGTGCTCCAGCTAGAACACGGAAGAACACCACAGAGGCATAGGAAGTAGATAGACCCATTCCAATCGCTGAGATGCAGGTTCCCAGCAACCCCACGAGAAGAACTCGCTTTCGACCAAAAAGAGGACTGTCAGCCACATGTCCCCATAACATGCCAGTCACACACTGAGCGGCGGCGAATGCAGCAGTGAGGAGACCGGCCTGTCTTGCAATTGCCGAGTTTGGTAAAGACGGACTGAGAAACTTCAACTGGTAGAAAAGATACGATGTAAGTGATCGCTCGGCGAGCGGTTCAGCCAGCCGTGCATAAACGACCATGCCCAGCTGCCACTTCTTTGGCATTGATGTCCAGGACACCGGCTGCTGAGGCGCTTCTGTCTCAGCGACGAGACTCAAGTCGGGAGTCTGATATGAAGGAATGGCCATGTTGGAATGACTGGCTTTGAGCAGTGGTGTCTCATCATTGACAACTACGTCGTCATCTTGATTTTGGCTTCGGCTGCCGCGTCTTCTATACGAGCTTGTCGTCGAATGAGGGCTTTTTGGGGCCGGAGAATCGTCCTTCTTCGCCATTTTCCCATTGGGTAAGACAACGTGACAATGATCAATAGAGAAAGAAGCCAATGCAGGTAGAGAAATGTAAGCTGAGCTTCTAGATCAAATGTTTTTTCTGTCGTATCAACCCACGTTAGCGTCAACCCCGGCCCGCCCACATCAAGAAACGCGTGCGGGGATCAAAAGTCCCGCAAGATGCATGCACTTTTCGGTCGGCTCCCACTCACTCAATAGATCGACTTTTGTCAATTATGCCGCAGTCCAGATGGGCGTGAAAAAGGCGTTCAAGCATGGTTGATTGACGGATGATGGCCGCGAATCAGTCTTGGCGGGCTCACTCGGTCGAGCCGAGCGGGATTGCGTCGTATCGCCGAGGGACCATGAAACCTGGTTCTAAGCTGTGATTCGTCCGTTCTTCAACGTCACCTCGTTTGACCTATTGTTGAAGAAGAAGCAGAAGAACAAGAAGAAGCTCTGCGTATCTAGCTCATGCTAGTTAAGTTCAGTCAGTGATTATGAAAGCCGTTGTTTCCCTCTGGTTATTGACCTTCTTACCTCGAAATGTATATGGTTTTACTCAGGGAACCCAGTGCTCTCTCTCAAGATCTGATAACGTTGAGCTTCTCCAGAATGTCATTCAACGCCAAACTACCGCGATTTAGACTTCTAGACTTCCCTTGCAACAGCAGGGATTTTGGATCTGCATGAAATATCACTGTGAGAAATTCTGCACAAACAGTTGAGGAATGCTTATTGGCGTCTTGGACCTCCACTTGTTGCGCCGCCGCTACTCACTTTAGGACATGCCCGGGACAGATTTTTCAGTGACAGCGCTTTGGCTTGCTTTGCCTCCTTTGTCGGCCCCAAGGAGACTCATCATATTCCCAGTTTGGTGGTCCAACCTTGCCAACACCGGGTCTAGCTCCTGCAGATTCATGAATCAAAGTGTCTCTGCAACCTTGATTTCGGCGAACTGTGGATCTAATCTGATTGATTAGATGCGCTTTCGTCGGGCTAGACAGGTTCATCGCCTGCTCATCCGCACATGGTGCCACCCAGTTCCCAAGCGGGAGCGCCTGACTGATGCAGGGCCATCCACGGCTTGCGACCCTAGACGCGTAGTCGGGGTTAGGACCCTCCGTTGCTGTCCATCGATCAATTTCGGAGTGACATTCATGATAACTATGCTATAAGAACCAAACTTTGTCAAATGTTGACATTGTTTCTCGCTTTACAGTCGACACTCTATTTTTTCTACTAGTCCGACGGTCTCAGCTCAGCCTCTCCCCCTCAACACTGAAGCAATGGCTGCCGAAGCAGTGCCACCCCCTCGGGATGCCGAGCAAGCTCCTGCAGACCATGTCTCTGAGACGAGTCAAAACGAAAAGCAAGGCTTCACAACCGCCATCTCTGCGTCCCCGAATAGCGATGATGTCTCAGTCAACAGCAGCCTCAGACCGGTTCCGTTATCATGGAAGCTGGCCTCTGTTGTGCTGGTGACTGCTATCGGATTCGGTTCGCAGTGGAGTTCCGGCCTCAGCGGTGCCATGAAGACGACGATGAAAAAGGAGATGAAGATCAACAATACGCAGTTCTCTCTTTTGGAAGCTAGCGAGGATTTCATGGTCACGGCTCTGATGCTTCTCAGTGGTGTCGTTACGGACAGAATTGGTGGTGCAGGTAAGAAGAATTTGGGAATATCCATGCGAGCCTTGCTGATAGGCAACTAGGTGCCATGTTATACGGCAATTTCCTCTACTCAGCTGGTTCCATTCTTGTGGCAGCAGCAGCCCAGACCCGCTCTTACAAGTTTATGATTGCCGGTAGAGTCATCCGCTCCCTCGGAGATATCGCGACTCAAGTGGCGCAATACAAAGTCTTCTCATCCTGGTTCGCCCCCGGCAATGGCTTTGCATCGACTTTGGGCTTCGAGCTGGGCATCGGCAAGATTGGTGCATTTGCTGGAAAGTCATCTGCCAATATCATCGCCAAGAAGACGGGAGATTTTGCCTGGGTGTTCTGGGTTGCGGTTTTCATGAATCTCTTCACAAACGTCATGACGGGTGTGTTCTACTGGTTCACAAACGTCGCCAACAGCAAATTCCATGGTGTCAGCGATCCTGCAACTGGCGAGAGGTTGAAGGAAAAGACGAAAAAGTTCGAGTTGCGCAAGGTTCTCGAGTTGCCGTGGGCTTTCTGGGCTGTGATGGGCTTCTCATTGTTCGAGACGAGTACCGCCATCGTCTTCCTGCAGAACGCGACTGAGCTTGCCGAGCAGCGCTTCGGAACCAGTTCCATCACTGCTAGTTGGTACAGCGCCACGTTGCAATATGCCGGTAAGAAGATGATTTTGATATTCTCCTCAGTCTTTCAGATTGCTAACGCAGCCAGGTTTCTTCGTTGTACCCCTGCTTGGAGTATTCCTTGATCTCTACGGCAACCGAATTTCAGTCTGTAAGTGCTAGGCCATTGTGGTCAACTAGCGAAACGCGGTTCCTCGTAAATAACACAGCCCTCTAGTGGTCTTCTGTGGCATTGGAATGTTTACTTCCATGTTGCTCGTGTGTTTCGCCAACACCACTCAGGGCACTGCTGCGAGTTTCGGAGTCTTTGCATTCGCCTACTGTTTCGGACCCGCCACCATCATTGACAGTATTCGCACATCAGTGTGGGACTCGACTGTCTTTGGCTCGGCATATGCATTGAAGATCACCATGAACAACGCGTAAGACTTCCTGCACAAATCCTCACCTGATGCCTGGTCAAAACTAACAGGATGGTTTCTTCAGAATGAACATTATCGTTCGCGTCATTACTGGTGTCATTCAAGATAACGACAACAACTCCTACGATAAGGTCACTGTTGTCTACGTCATTCTTGCCGGAATCTCCGTGGTGGTTTCTTTCCTCCTGACGTTCGCGTCCTGGAAATCCGTCGACCTCGGACACCTGCAATGGACACGCAAATTGCGTATCGCGCGTGGCGAGATCCTGAACGTCAGGAAGGAGAGGTTCTACGGGCAGAATGGCGAGAAGAACAGACTCATCTCCAATAGCTGCTTCATAGCATTGATCGTGCTTATCTTGGGAAGTTGGTGCGGATACTTCTGGGGAGTTGCGACTGGCAACAACTCTTCATGATTTGAGTGGGGGAACACGCAGGGTACGGTGCTTCGCAAGGAGAATCAGACCTTCTCGTATGGCCATAATGAACGTGACGAATTAATATCTAGTTGACCTAATACAACTGATGATCGCTGGTCATACCGGCTGATATGAAACCTTCTTCCAGCGCAGAATCACTTAGGTGCCTCAAGTAATGTGCAGATAAGCAAAGCTTCCGGGCGTCGATAGGTCAGGCTGTGGGACTGGTTCAATCGATATGACTGTAGGTCGCGTTCACATTCGGGGGCAGAAGCCTCATGAAGAAGTCTCCACCTCACGCGACTTACTCAAGTTCCAGTCGGAGTCCGGAGCGGCTGTGGACAGCTCCACAAGACAGGCCCGAGGCCCCGAAGTCGCAGCAGGGTCGGGAAAGCCCCATCTTTACCGGAGGAGAATACCGGGGTAAACTGGATCGGAAGGATCGATGTAGAAGTTCATCCGCCCAACCAGATTTGCGTGTCCCCTGACGCGAGGGATACAGGCCGGGAAGCCTTCCACAGGACTTGTTTCCTCGGATACAATATCTGTTGGATCTCTGAGCAGTCGGCAGAAAAGATGGATCTGGAAGGCGGTATGGGCACTTATAAACGGCCCTTTTACTTATATACCACTTCTAGGAGATCGTGGGCTCTGCCCATAATCTCCTCCTTCCACCTCTAGACGTAGCAATAATAGACCATTATTGATACTTCGTTCCAACCGTACGGTTGCCCTGCTGACGTGTATATCAACAATATCAGCTTCAAAACGGGTAGAAACGATGGACTGATGTGTGAGCTTGGAGCGACCTGCTGCTATTCTGCTCTGCGCAAGCAGCACCGCAAGTCTTGCACAGGTACCCGAACCGCAGGGAGAGCGATCGATTTGTCCATCAGCAAAGACGGTGACGTTTCTCTGTTTTACTTCGTCTCGCTCTTTGTTGACATCGCCTTCTTCGTTGTAGAAGATTACGCCGTAGAGGTCGTAGGTGCCGTAGTTGGCCTTATCGCCAATGGAAGCCTTGATCTCTCTACCGAGCTTGATGAAGTCCTGGTGTCTACTAGGCTCAACCACGAGTCCGAACTGAGATGCATCCAACGTAGCGTAGACAGCACCAGCAAAGGCAAGATCGATGTTGATAGTTGCATCGTGAGACGGGATTATGATCTCGAGGTCCTTGACAAGCTGGTAGCTTAACACATTGACAAAGTCGGCATGGACAGGCTTGCCCTCCTTGACGCTGACGCTGGCCACCACACGCCCGGATGGAACATCGATGACGACGTCGACAACCCCGTCACCTTTGGGTGCTTCGACAAGGCCCTTCGTCACAGCCCAGTACTCCAGTGCGATGGTTCCGTGCCCGCATGCAGTTGAGAATCCGTCTTTGTGCCAGAACATGACGCCAAAATGAGCCCCAGAGTCATCAGGTGGCGTGATGAAACCTCCGTACATGTCGGCGTGGCCGCGAGGCTCGTGGCATAGTGACTGAAGTAGCTTGACTTTGGCAGGATCTATCTGATTTAAGCACCTTTCTTTCGGTTCCAATTCTCTCCGATATAGGCTATCTCGCAGAGTCTCCCGGCGCAAGCTGGACAACGGCGACGAAACGCCCCCGCATCGGAAGGCCAACCCGGTCCGGTCAGGATAAGGTCCGGAATGTGGTCCCGCGAATACGAAAATCCACTTTTTCGTATTGGCCATGTGCCCCTCCAAAATTATTGAGATTGCGGGGGATTCAGAGATCCGCGATTGCTTTTGCGAAGCAAGAGCTTAGGAAATGAGGTATTTCATCTTCTCACTGTCATTAACCCCCAGTATCTTGTGAATTGTTCAGAACATTCCGGATCTGACAACGCCCAAATCAGCTGGGCTCGAAACTGGCTGCGAGTGGCACTCGCACCGATGTCCTCCTTAGCGAAAGCAAGGACATGTGAGGGACTTCAAGGAACATTGAGTCAGTCTGAATTACTTTGTAAATTAGTTCCTGAAGAATGCTTCACTGAAATCTAAGCTTCTCAAGCTGGATATCGTCCCTATTTCCGAACTTCTGCTCGCATCGCATTTGTTGGCCGATACGTCGAGTGCGATGCATACTTGCCTCCAAAAAGTCTAGGAAGGGACGGAGCCATATTCGACAGAAGTCGGAGGCTGCGGGTCCGGCGTCAGGTTGGCTGTCTTGCTTACCTTATGCACGACGGTTGTAAGGGTCTGGTTGGTCGATCGAATGAGTCCAAGGTCTTCAAGATTACTAATGCGATGATCTTAGACTGAATGAAACAGATCTACTTTGCTCTACAACAAGACTCTTAGCACGACTGCAAAGTCGATGGCTGGCTGGTGATTTGAGGCCTTCTACGGCGGAGGTTTGTGTAGCTGTGAAAACTCACAATGACTCACCATACCCTCATAAAAACAACCAATGCATGACTGGTAAAGCTTTTAACTCATCAAGAGACATACAAATCGCTCATATCTGGCATCTAGAGCAATCCTAGCCCTCGAACTTTGAAGCCCCGGTGTCAGAGTGAAGGACAAATCTGGGGTTCCGACCAGGGCCGCGTCTTGGCTTCCTGATGGGGACTAGCGTCGATCGCATAATCTGCCGGCCTCCCGGTCCGCCGGGTCTGCCGTTTGATAAGAAAAACACCCCGCCTGCCAATTTTCACCTCCACGTCTCGCCCGGGCCCAACTTCACGCAAACATCCAACATCACAGACACCCGCCCACCAACCAACAATGTTCCATCTGTCATGCCAGACGTGTCCCACGCTTCCAATTCGTGCTGGACCTGCCGGCAGAAGCGGGCCAAGTGTGACAGACTCCTCCCAACATGTCTCCGCTGCACCTCCTTGATGCTTCGGTGCCAAGGATACGACCGACCGAAGAAGTTGGTATGGACCAATAGTGTGGCCAGCAGAGGCAAGATGATGGGAAAGGTCACATTCGGTGCAGATCAAGAACCAAACGATGATCCTCTAGCAAAAAGACCCCATCAGCCGGGCTCCCTCGCAGTGAGACACTCCTGGGAGACGTTGCCTGAAGCACAGCCGTTTTCACTTGACGTGTCATGGTCCCTCATTGACCCTGACCTGCAAGACTTGTCCCTTGATTGCCGGAAGTACATACGCTACTGTAAGCCGTAACCCAGACCAAATCATCCCAAGGTGAAGGCGCTGACCATGCTGTGTCAGTTGACATGGAAATGTCCAAGGAATGCGTCGTGTACCAGACATCCAGCAATCCCTTCTTGTCCCTTATGCCGCTTATGTCCAGGAGTCATGCCTTGTCCCATGCCATGATTGCAATATCGGCCTTTCATTACTCTCATCGCCTGGTCATCAACCAGATCCAAGTTCCCCGTGCGGAAAATAGGCTTCTTGAGGTTGACAACACTCTACTGTGGCATAAAGCGCAGGGACGCGACTGGCAATTGAGCCAACCAAACTTCTCGCCCTCACTGCGTGTAGCCCTAGCCCATAAGCAAAGAGCCCTGCAGTTTCTAAAGGCAGAGATACAAGACCACGATGTGACAAATAATGATGCCGCAGTGGCAGCCATTGTTCTGTTCATATGCATGGATGTGGTCGAGTTTGGTAGTCGGGGATGGGAGCATCACCTCGGAGGCGCTGGTGAAATACTCCAACAGCGGAAAGCTTCCCCTCCTAATCACAGTCTTGGAACCGATCACTGGTTGGAATATTTCGACACAGCCTACACGACGTAGGGTCATTCTCTGAGAAGCCTTGCCTGGATTCACCGCTAATTTTGCTGATAGGTTTGGGATCATGGGCGCAACACTAGCGCCAGCAAAAAGCTCTTTCGCTCAGCAGATGGTGTCGCTGGATCCGTCTCTCTTGAGGACCCTGCGGCAGTCTGAAGACCAGACTTGGGTTGGTTGTCCTGCTGAGTTGCTGTACCTCGTTTCCATCATCAACTCTTTGCGATCACTCTCAACCTATTCAGGAGCGGACCAGCTGAAGGCCGCAGAGTTGTGTAAAAGGCTCCAGAATTTCTCGCCATCAGGTTGGGCGGAGAACTTCCCAGATCCTGAGCACCATCAATCGCGCTCGCACCTTGCGCATGCTTACAAGGTAGCGGTTGAAGTGTATGCCTCTCACATAATCGGCCCCCTGCTTGATCAAGGGCAGCATCTCTATAATCTGTATCTTGATGTGGCAACTCGATCCGCCATACTCCACATGCTCTCAATCACAGCCCAGGACTTCCATGTGAAGAGTATGGTATGGCCTGCTTTCGTCATTGGAGCAGAGATTCAAGCGGCCGATCTTAAGATCATGATTCGGGAAATCTTTAGGAATATTTGGATATCATCGTGTTGCTACAATGTCAGAAACGCCATTGAGATGCTGGAAAGGATCTGGGCCCGAGATGATGCCGAGAGGATGGCAAAGTCCTGGCTCATCTATCTCTGGGAACTGGAAGATAGCTGGCTATTCCTATAATTCAGGTCAAAGGACGTCTACTAAAGTCGAGGTATCAGATCGGAGCCCGAGGGCAGAGCTACTGACAAGGATGATACATGTACTTGGTGATAAGAAGCGATGCCAAGGTGCCGTGACAGCATGGAACGAAGCTGCAGGACGCTTATACCCGGAGGGGACATGCGGGTCAAGCGCCACTCCTAAAATGTGGATCATCTGCGCCGAACTTACGCAGCAACGGGGTCCGATAAGGAGGAGGGTTCCCGCCGCGGTTTGAGGCCAGCAACAACGCTGCCGCCAACATCCACACTTATTCTTGGGTCCGGTTTATAAAGCCTTCCTGTTCCCTCACCTGCGCTTGAGATCATCTTGAGTCTCTTCACTTACAACCCTCAACCACATAGCCCGTCTCCAACATGTCATCACCACACCCCCTCTGTCCCCTCTCGGGTACGGAGATCCAAGCCGCAGCACAGGTGATCCAGACTGCTTGGCCAACATCAGTTTCTCTTCGGTTCAAGGTTGTGACTCTCAGTGAGCCCGCCAAGGGAGAACTGGCACCTTACCTGGACGCAAAGGACAAGGGACTGTCCGCTACTCAGCCTGATCGCAGGGCGTTCCTTGCGTACTACATCCGAGGAACGGTACGATAACCAGCCTTCGCTGATTTGATTTGTGAAAAAGACGCTGACAAAACCGGCGTAGGACCTCTTCCACGAAGCGATAGTCAACCTGACAAGCGGAAAGGTTGAGAGCAACCTCAAGCTCGGTGCCAATGTCCACGGCAATGTCGACTACGACGAGGCTCAGTTGGTCGAAAAGATCGCCCTCGGGGACCCCAAGGTCCTTGCAGAGATCAAGAAACTCGAGCTACCTGAAGGCACAGTTGTCTGCGCTGACCCTTGGATCTACGGTAAGTGCCCAAATCATGTCCTCGTATTTCTTACAACTAATTCTCATCAGGATCCGATGGTGTAAATGATGATGCACGCCTGTATCAAGTATTCCTCTACATGAGAGACCCCAACAACTCATCCGAGCCCGACTCTAATCACTATGCTTTCCCATTGCCAATCCTGCCCGTGGTAGAATGCAACGAGTACAAGATCACCCGCATTGACATTCTCCCCACCGGCGCCGATAACACCATCAAGCCTCTCAGCCCGTACAAGCCCAAGCCAGGAAACGAGTACATCCCTGAAGCACAAAACCTCCGAAAAGACCTCAAGCCTCTGCAGGTTATACAACCCGAGGGCCCCAGCTTCACCGTCACTCCCGTGGGTGAGACCGGCAATGTGCTCGAGTGGCAGAAGTGGAGTTTCTTCATCGGTATGTAAAGCGTGATTGAGAGAGATCAATCATTGGGGAGAGTAACTAACACCAAGTGCTTCAGGCTTCAACCAGCGCGAAGGTATGGTACTGTATAACGTCAAGTATGATGGCCGTCCGCTATTTTACAGACTGTCGCTCTCAGAGATGAGTGTGCCGTACGGTGACCCGCGTCATCCGTTCCACAAGAAAGCTGCCTTCGATCTCGGCGACGCCGGCGCAGGAGCCACTGCCAACAACTTGCAGCTGGGCTGCGACTGTCTAGGAAGTATCCAGTATCTCAGTGGTGTCATCTCCGATGACCGCGGTCAGCCCGAGTCCAGAGATAACTGCATCTGCATCCACGAGCAAGACGCAGGCATTGGCTGGAAGCACACCAACTACCGTACCGGACGTGCCGCGCTCGTACGATCTCGCGAACTGGTTCTCCAGAGCATCATTACGGTCTCCAACTATGAGTACATCCTGATGTTCCTGTTCAACCAAGCTGGTGAGGTGACTTACGAAGTCCGAGCCACTGGTATCCTGTCAACTCAGCCCATCGACCATGAATTGGACAAGGTCGGCACGTCTTTCGGCACCGTTGTTCACCCTGGTGTTCTCGCGGGACACCATCAACACATCTTCTCCCTGAGGGTCGACCCCATGATTGATGGACACACCAACCAGCTAGTGTATTCGGAGGCGCACAAGATGCCGCGCGACCCTAAGTGGAACCCTCACGGCACAGGCTACGAAGTTGTCGACAAGGTCGTGGAGAAGACATCGGGTCTTGATCTTGACTTTGACGTGAATCGCACCTTCAAGATCACCAACCCCAGCTCTCTCAACCCCATCAACGGGAAGCCAGTGGCCTACAAGATCATGGCGCCGCCTTTCCAGAAGCTCATGAGCGACCATGACAGCTTCAACTACAAGCGCGCCGAGTTCGCGGACCACAACATCTATGTCACGACACATCGTGACCGGGAGCTTTACGCCGGCGGCTGGTATACCAATCAGTCTCGCGGAGGAACAGGTGTCAGGGGATGGTCTGAGCGAAACGAGACGCTGACTGCCGAGTCTGACATTGTGGTCTGGGTGCAGTTTGGCATCAACCATGTACCGAGGATCGAAGACTTCCCCGTCATGCCGGTTGAGATTCTCAAGGTACATCTCAAGCCGGTCAACTTCTTTGACAAGAACCCCGCGTTGGATGTGCCCCCTAGTGAGCAGAGCTTCAACAAGAGTACCTTGGTTGAGTCTAGCAAGGTGAAGAAGGAGGATGACGGCTGTGGCTGTGAAGGCCCTGCTGCGGCATCAAAGCTATAGGCGCTTGATCGTCGCTTTACGTTCAGGTTACTTCTTCTTAGAACATATGTTAATACGAGGTCCGATTTTCCTTGTCGTTGTTCGATGCTTGTGGCAGAGGAGATGGCCGGGTGACTACTTATAAGCGAATAAGAGCACTGTTTACCTCCATCTAAGGGATGCCCCTCAGGGGCGGTATAATGCCATTGCATACCATGTAGCATGATCCTCGCTGACGTCCGCCACGTGCGGAACAAGCTGCCGAGCCTTACGGGTTCACTTGAAAGAGCAGCTGCATACAGCTGGTGGTTGGTCTTGATGTTCGCGATCTGGTTGGGCAGGTACCCCATCAACGGCAACACCCTTGCAGCCACAGGATACTGGTGGCTTAATACGTCCCAGTATTTGGCCAAGACCCGGCACGCAGTTCCCCGAGTATCGCTGCCATGTTACCAGTGGCTGTCCTGGAGAACTTGCCCCTTTTGCAGCGTGGATTGAACGCGCCCTAGGTGCTGTACCTAGGTGAAATTAGCTACGGCGTGTATCTGGTTCACTGGGCCGTTGAGAATTCATTCCTTACCTTGGGCCTCAAATTTCAAATACTGAACGCCGGGTATTCTGTTAATATGGCTGAGCTAATCATTATCTACGTGGCCATTGTGCTCTCCGTATTCTTCGGAGATATGTACTGGAGAATGGTTGACCAGAAATCTGTTCGGTTCGCACGCTGGTTGACCAAGAAATTTGAGGTATAGAACATGAGCATTCATTTTGAGACTTTGATTATAACTTGCTGGCATTTTTGTGTTGGTTTACCATAGAGATTACATGTAGATTGACAGCGTTCACTTGATCGTTCCAGCGTCTTTTGTTATACTTCTTGATTCTCGTTCTCAAAACTGCCGTGCGATAAATGATGTAAAATCCGAGTCAACGCTGGCTTCCTTGGCTTTTAGCCATTTGGTGGTCGATGTTGTATGCTTCAGGTGGTTCGACGTTCTAGTACAACCTCGGACATGGGTCCAGCAAACGTAAAGAGGTGATCTAGATGGATGCTACCGATGTACTCGATTCGAGAATGAAGACATGGTGGGTTTGATCTGCGAATGATCCAATAAAGATACCGGCGACACCCACCCCGCATCTGATCACGAGTGCGCGTCTTGGGAGGGCAATGTTCAAGATAACTTTGCTCGTCCTCGACTTGTTGCTGAGAAGAAGAGGAAGGCCGACGACGGAACTGGCATTACCAGAGACCACCTTGGGCTACGACGTGCTACCCTCTGGAGTACTGCAGACGACCAGCGCGCGAGCGAGGCGCATGCCGAATTTCCTTGTAGAACTCCATCTGGAACTGCCGGTGCTGCTTAGACAAGGCGCGCTCTGGGTTCCTCCGCCGTCGTCAGATCGGTTAGCCGAGTCCGGGCAGTGCCCAACCCAAGTCGAAAAAGCCCCAGCGGAAGGACCATCAGTTGCAGTGGTAATTGTAGGCTGGCTCTGGGCTCATGGCTAGTGCCAGGGCCCGGGACATGCGACGATACTGAAGATCGGTCATGTTCCGCATAACGTACTCCCTTGGGGGAACCAAGCCCCACCACTTCAGATAAAGCTTTCCCCAGCTCTATGCCGTCTGAACGAGTGGCAGCAGCTGAATGAGTGATTGAAACAGTAGCATTAGCGACGGCTTTTGGAAGGACGTCGCCTTCGGGAGCAACCAGGCTTCTTACTCCGATGGGTTTGCATGGATATGAGCGGATATACGGTCGCAGAACATGTCCAGGTCTTCCATATCTGGATATTCAAGTGAGAGCCTGGCAAACGGTCTTTGATAGACATCGATCCGCTGCCTGGTCTGACCTTTGACTCAGTGTTGGCAATGCACCCATGCATGACCAGCCTCCGCAAGAAATCCCAAAATCGCAGCTTCAACGAGCTCAGACTCGCGGGCTTTGATGATTGAGATTCTTACGTGTGCTCCGACTGCTCTCTGCTACAGCTGCGCCGCTGTCATGTTGGGCGTGATCTCCATGTCTTCGAAGTTGAGGATGAAGTAGCTGCGTGGTCTGCCATGATTATGTCTCCGTGAGGCGACGCCAACGACGCGAATAACGACATAAAGGTCTGGAGAGAGGAGCAAATCAAAATCGACCAGGTCTCCTTCACTTCCCGACTCAGAACGGAACATCCCCGGTCTTGATACGCATCGAAAGCAAACCCCGTCATCTTCACGGGACAATATATTATAGAAGCTTGTCCTGGAGTCCCTAAATGACAAGAAGTGCGACTGATGACTTTGTCGAGGATAGCGAGCGGCAGAGGCATCCACCCTCAGTTCTCATATACCGCCATGGCAAAGGTTCGGTGCTGAACCCTGCCTGTTCCTTCATCCTCGTTCCCTTATTTTCCAAGAACAATGAGGGGCAGAATGCTCGAGACCGAGGGCCTTGGGGCTGCCAGATGTATAAAGTACTCAAACACGCCAGGCTGGGAAGGACAATATGGGTGTGGAAGACCACAACGTTGTCCTGCTCCGTGTTCCTCTGCAAGACGCTGCTACCCTGGACAATCAGGTGCTCGCTAACACCAGAGCTACGTGCATGTCTAAGCAGTTGACGCACAGTGGGGTGTGTACTTCGGGGGTTTGACAACAGCCCACGACCAAGAGCTGCGCTGACCTGGAATTCGGTCGCCTTGTAAGCCTCTTCCTAGGTCACGGTAAACGTTACCCAGAATTCGCTGACGGCGGCGGCGATATTGCTTCTGGATGAAGCGCCGATCCTCGGCCTCGACTGTGGCGGCTTTCAAGTATGGCCATTTTGCTCTTAGGGCCCGGGGTCGGTTGGAAGAAGAGTTCGTAGGTGCGTGAATCCTCAAGTTAAGGGAAGTGATACGGACCATAACACCATCACGGCAGGTGGTCGTGAATATATAGAGGCAACTTGAGACCCATGTTCTCGTTCACAACAGTGAACTGTTCTCCGGTGTTCAAGGTTGAAGCTCTCCAGCAGGACCGTATGCGCGGATGCTTCCGATCCGAGGAAAGCCATCGGGGCGCTTCGATTACCTGGCCAGCAGTCTAGGCACAGAAAGAGAGTTTCAAAGACTTCGAGAGAGCAGAATGCCTTCGCGATCTGGCGGCATGTTTCATCTCCTTTGGAGAGTGCCCAGATAGGCCCTGTATGAACGATTGCCGGTTGCGTGAGGGCCCGGGGTTGTCGGCCTGCGGTATAGATCCAAAACTCCTGTGTAGCCGACTAACAAGATTATCACAAGGGCATACGTCCTCGTCTTGGTGCAAACTTGCGATAAAAACCAGGTTGTGATGGCCCGACTGATCTCTGGTTGAGTTCAAGTAACCGTACGACTTTATCGCGAAGTGCAGAAAACTTATCAGCAAATAAGTTCTTCAGTACTCGACCGGTTCGTTCGAGAGAATTGCGTGTCGTAGTCGTCAGTGTCGAGGGGAGGAATGTTAGTGTAAAGTACTTTAGGTAAGAAGAGGCACAGTCATTGAGAGGCTCGTGCGGTGCGATGGAGAGGACTCTCCGTACTAAGCAGTCTGGCTCCCAGGTGATGCGAACATCTTCTACGCTATTCCACGAACCGCCAGAGGCCGATGCGCCTACAAGCGGCTCGACGGATAAAAGGAGTAGAGCCGCAGCGGAAACGCAAAGACGCTCCATAGCGACGACATCGCCCGTACTCGCATCCCCGGCCGTAAGAAGAGTCAGCAGTGTAGCGCTCGACCGGGACCAGATTCGTCGCAGCAAACCGTGGTCCTCGACGCCCACGAGGTACAGTCCAAATTGTCTGACGATCTGGATATCTGGCCTGAAGGTGGATACCACCGGTTTTCCTCCAACAGTCTTGGCTCCTTTCCGGGCTCGGGGGGCCGAGTGAGGAACCAGGTCATCGAGAAAGCCCATGCCGTGCGAGAGTGCAATGTATAACTGAGGCTACTCGGGCTCCGTGGGCCCCAGGTCCAAATTGTGGCGAAAGCCAATGATAGTGGTTTCATTCGAGTGATGATATCGTCGATGAGAACTTCGACAGGGCAACCGTAAGGTTGCCTCGAGCTCGTAGTGAGAAAGACCAGAAAGCCTGAGAGCAATGTTCTGACTGCCGAAGATGCCAACATGTTATAGCGGCTCAGGAGAGCGAAAGAGAAAGTAACACAACGGACAGCGTCGCTTTCCTGCTGAGATCTCCTCGCAAGAGTATTGTATGTCGTACGCACAACTCTACATCTTAGTCGATCAGTATATCATCCGCCGTCTGATGGACGCATGCATCATAAATTACGTCGTGTCCTTCTGCGCTATCCGTTCACCAATGAACTCGCGCAAATTATCTGCGACCTCTTGAACTTCATCTGGCCAAGAACAATGCTTCTTATCGGAGTCGGTGTGCTTTCACGACGCACATGCGATGACAGCTCTCCCCTGGTCGGCGACTGCGATCGAGATGAGCGCCAAGGGGGGGTGTCGCATAATCCGCTGCTTGTGACGAGAATGTCCAGCAGGGCCCGGGGCGCTCCAAGAAAACCAGGTCCTAATTCGCCTGATTGTGATTGCTTGGTTCTTGAGGTTTCGAGTAACGTCGACGTATTTAGTTGCTGGGACCAGCTTCAATTCCGTTGGAATTGTTCGAGATTTCGCAGAGTAGTCGATTGATCTCGCCATTCACTTTACGGTTCCATCTGTCTAGATCGGGAGACGCTGCCCGTGCAGACGATGGTTGAAATCGTCCGAAGACCCAGTCGACAAATGATCTAGTTCCTTGGTGGAGGAGCGTAAGCGACGTCGACACCAGTGATCATGCCATGGACGAAAGAGTCAAGCATTTACCCGCTCGAAAGGGTCCGGAGCGCACAATAGACCTGCTGAGGGTTACAAGAATTTGTACTCCCACGGCTAGTGACCGGAGTGTGTAGATATACAATGTTAATAATGGAGTTGACCAGAGAAACTGGCTCCTCTGAGGCCTACGGCAGAAGTATACGGGCAGAGAAGCAGCGACACGACAGTGCGTCGCTGGCGTCCCTGGCCTTGTGTGAAAGACCAACGACCTCGGAGGGAAGAGGAGCAGGCCGTATGGCTAATAGATGTCGGAGTCAACATATCAGGACGGGCTTCGACAGTTTTCGGTTTTCGAAGCCAGCTCTGACTTTGACACTGCCCAGCCCGATCCCGTATCTCCTCTTTTTCAGAGGTTTGCTGATGTCTTTATCGACAACCCATGCAAAAGGGCCCGGGGCATAAGTCATAGTAGAAGTAGCCACATAGTCAAATGGTAGGTTGAGAGAGAGAATGGGTGCAAGTAGTGCCAGGGCAAGTTCAAAAGACAGTGATGATCGTAGTCAGAAGCGTAGGAGAGAAAATGCAAGCAGAATCATGGCGCCCCGCTTGATTGCTGTCTTTCTCATCCACAGTCTCCAAAACAGACAGCATCGCTTTGAGCCTCTGGGTCTCACTCGTGATCCGCCGGGTTAGGATGTGAATGAAGCGACGGATGCGCTTGTTCACGATCCCCCAGCGGCAGCGCAGTACGGCAGCGGTGTGAAGAGAAGATTTGGTGATAGTTCCCATGTCCGACATCATAATGAAGGCATGGAGGCACCCGCAATGGCTCAACATTGACGTCTCTCCTCCACGACTCAACACCATCTCGGACTCCGGGGCCCGGGGGTGCTCTGTCTTCAATCGCGGGATGGGTAGTTAGTGGTGCTTTCGCCGGAACCAGCAGTCTTGTCTGCATAGACCATCTACTCGAATCGATTCTTGGTTTGGTGGTCAATGTTGTACAGAGGCTCTGAGATGAGGAGCGTAGGCAAAGAATGAAAGACAACCGCTCAGGTACACAAATTGGTATGCCCTCAGTGATAGCACGAGTAGCCAGAGGGGATGGGAAGGACTGAATTGGTCTCGGATGAGGTCCACTAAGAAGCCCAAACAGAACAGCACCAGTCGTCTTCATCTCAACGGAATGTAATGGCGGGAGATGGTGTCGCTTCAACTTCGCCGGCGGCAGTGGGTGTGGATTTTCGTTGTCGACCTTCCGGCTAGTAAATGGTAGCCAACTAAGGCTTTATAAACCTCCAGCAGTTGGTCTTCCTCTTGAAGTCGTCGGCGACGGACTCTTTGCATGATCGCAAGCGAGGGAGGTAGGTTCCTCGCTCCACTGGGCTTCGGCCTTGACGGTTTGCATGATCCGCGTTCAGTTAGGATCAACTTCCTTCCAACCAAACACTGATACTCCCAGCAACTTGGTAGTTTGAGTGCCGAATTTGACCTCGATATTTGTTGATGCGGCGGGCGAACATGAGCTTGTACCTGTCCTTTCACCCAAGTGGGCCGCTGAGCGTGCTCGCGGTTGTCCCTGGTACAAGGGAACCAAGAACGCAGTACACTTGGGAGGAAGCTTGACTTGGAGCACGAGCAAGCAATTGTCTAGGGTTTCCTGCGAGATGGCAATATCGCAGGTTAGAATACTGGAAACCGGCGTTATCTGGGTCTCTAGAGAGCTCCAAAACGGCGAAACAGAGTGAGTCCACACTAGATCCTCCTCTGTGAAGTCTTTGTATCCTCTGTTGTTCTGGTTTTGGATGCTCTTGGATCCATGGATACTGATGTTGCGATAAAGGTCTCGAACCAGCATTCGATGCTCTGCAGATGGCTATGATGGCCATCGATATCCGACTCTTCCCCTAACCCACAGGACGGGCGCACGAGGCACCGCGTGGCCCTTTCCCTTAACTTGTGCCGTAGTTCGGCGAGAAGAGTTGTTGACTGCCGAGACGACGATGATGGACTCGCGCTCGACTCTGATGAAGCCAAGTACTTCAACTTCAAGGAGGCCCTGAAGCAAATGGGGATACGAGAGCAGCCGCGCCAAAACGAGGCGACCTACTCCCCGTCCCTTGGCAAGGACAAGCTGAAGATACTGCGGCACAAGCAGAGATCCACGAAGAGCTCAGGCCTGCCACATCTGAAGCTTCAACCAACAGCCCGCTATGCGCACTTCGTCGTTGTCACTACGATGGGCTGGGGTCTCGGGGAACAGTTCGCAGGTTTTGGGCCCGGAGACCGTTCTGCAGATTGCAACGTTAGCTCATGACAGCATCCTCGAGATGTGTAGACTTACGGTACGGAAGATGAGTGCATGGTATAAAGCGTGGAGGGATAGACGGGAGGCTCAGTTGATGCTCCCAAGTGTTCTTGATGTCGTGTGTATCCGATTCTATGATCGACCCGAGGCATTCCAAGGTTGGATGGGCAACATGGGTGTGGAACAGCACAACATTGTCCGGCTCTGTATTTCTCTGCAAGGCCTTGCCACCCGCGGCGATCAGGTGCTGGTTGATACCAGGAAGCCAGAACAGCCAGAGCCGATCCGGTGATACTGGCCAGTCAAGCCACCAGTGGCCTGAAGGATTGCGTCGGCTATACCCTGCACCATCTTCAACCCGGCCAAACCCGACGAGAGCGTCGAGGGAAAAGTTGCGAGCGACTGGCAGGGAACACAACACACACAACGTTATAGTTCGCGCCCTTGTGTGTGATAATACTACCGCGCTCCCTACCAAGCAACAGACTTCAGCCCTCAAGTCCATTTATATACACTCGCGGAAGCTTGGCTGAGTAGATGCGGATAGACCAGAACGCGATAATCTCGTACTCGAGTCCGCGGCACAGGACTAATCCTCTCATTAAAGATGGCCAGCTATATGCCGGAATGGTCAGGTCCTGTGAAGACACTGCTCGATCTGTTAGCGCAATCCAACAACAAACGAGACACCCCGACGAGCAAGAGAGATGGCGATGCATTGGGGATAATTGTTGACGTACCGCACAGAGCTAGGCAGATGATGCATATGCTTAAACAGGACCGCGAGAGACGTTGGCCGACGGAGCGTGGTGCTGTTGGCCTGCAGCTTGAACCACCACCCGGGCGTGCTCGCTTGATAACCATTGGCGCTACATGCCAAAGGGCCCGGCGGATAATAGTCGGAGCTCCGTGTCCAAGTCGTCGTCTTTAGCCCCGAAACCAGAGCCCGTCGGTTCGTGAGATATGCGAGGCTAGGAAGAGTGCGTGATTTCCAAGGTCCTGCGGCAGGCATAGCGCTTGAGTACTACTAAACCTAGAAGTGCGGCTTATTACACCCACGCCGCCTAACGTCCCTTGTTTCTCCGGGTACGACCGCCGCCCTGATGAACTGCTTCTTCGTGTCGGCCCGGAGTCTTCCGCCAACTTCGCAAACCGGGGGGCCCAATGATTGGTTGGGTGATCACGGCAGGACAGCAACGAGAAGTCACACACGTTACCTAGGCCGGACCGTGATATATGACAGCAGGGCCAAGCAGCGAAGCAGGCCTGCCTAAGAAATGGCCTGTGGAGGCGGGAGGGGGGTAATATAGGGATTTCCGGAAGAGACGGCAATCTGATAGAATCTGATGATTCTCAGAAGAGAGGAGATGGCCTTGCGGAATTCCATGTCGCAGTGTCCTTGATATCGTAGGACACATGGCTGGTCGGAAATTTCGCGGGATACTCTACCGTGTAGGTGCAATACAAGCGTGGACCCGGGGGGTCTTGATGTAGAGAGGAGGGAAAAGATAGGTGAATTGGATGATGACCGGTAGGAAGGGAACATCGCCATTCAGAGCAGAAACAAAATGTCTCTTGATGGCAAAAGTGTTGACTGCCTGTCTATAGGTAGACGAGCGGTCACCGCCAGGGCTGGACTACGCCCGGGGCCCGGGGCCCGGGGCCACGTTCAGTGGGCTGATGAAGTCGAAGGATGAGAGTAAGGATAGGAGGTGAAGAAGAGAGGAACTCAGGAAGCGTGTGGTCTGCGGGGGGGCTCATCGGTAATATCAGAGTATCCTCCATGGAGAAGGATCAAGACTGACAACCTCACCGCCTGACATCCGCAAAAATGCAAGACATCGGCAGGTAGCATCCCGCACTCGCAAGGGCCAGTCTTTCAGGAAAGCCGGGATCTCAATGATGATCTTTCAGCTAAACATGACACGGCCCGATGCTCGAAAGCATGCCACAGATGGAAAGTTTGTAGTAGGCGGAACCAAAAGGAATCTGACGTGTCTGATCAAAGAATGCCCACGGTTCCCAGGATGTAAGTAAGGAGGTTGTATGGATGGAATCTCAGACTTCCGTGCTGGGGACGTGCAGTTCGCCGACATTTCATCTCAAGCAAACAAGACTGACTGACTTACCTCATGTTGTTCCCCATGCCGCATAAAGTACCCATCTCCACCTCAAGAGATACATCAGAAACAAACGGATAGGCACAACTGATGCAAATGCCAGGGTACAGATCGTATTCTCAAAATACCAGTGGAGCACGGCTGCCAGCCGTCTAGGCAGATATCTCAACGAAGATCCCAGTTCCGAGCATGATCGAAAAGTCGGTGGGCGGGTGCAAGCAGACGGGATCAGATAGGTACACCACTCGACAAAAGGACGCTTGAGCGACGACCGCGATCCGGTGGAAATATACGGGGCACAGCTGCCGGCTCCCGGCTCCGTCCGCGACAAAGTATCCTGATTTTCAGACACCCAGGCTCCAGCTCGACCTCATCCAGCATCGGACCGGCCTATCTGATATGTGATGGTCCTTCCCGGCCAAAGCGGTTGGGCACGTTGTATTCTAGTCCCGCGGCACAGTCGTCTGCCAATCGGATTCGCAGCCGAGGATGAAGTGCCGGAATACGAGATGTCACAGCCCGATGCCATGGACCGGGACGTAGCATCCGCGAAAGTGAGATGAGACTGTCAAACGGGCGCCACTGAGCCGCATGACGCCCATCGTTCGAAAACCGTCGACCGACGTGTCTTTGGACACCTCCGGTAAAATCATCATGTCTTGCTGTCAAGGTCGTGGGTCAAGGGTAAGAGGCCTCTGGGCCTTTAGTAAATAAGTTTGCTTACGCTCTCAACGCTTCTATCTATCCCGTCCATTGACGAGAGATGGGGCTCTGATCTAGAGCCATGCATAAACTCTGAATGGCCAACTGCAAAGCGCAGGACTTGATCAAAGGCACGTTTTCTCCCAAACGAAAACCAGAAACTCCACCGTGTCTAACGTGTCCCAGGCAGCACCGTCCGCCCAATTACAATTATGACAAGCAGCCAAGCGTTGGCATCTCCTTGCCATCACATGCTGCCTGGGGACCCGAGCAACCATCTCGTCTGGCGGCATGACCAAATGGCTCCCATGGTAAGCCTTCCAACGCCAATGCAGGCTCAAGTTCCACTAGAGCCGCAAGAATTGACACCCAATGAAATCAGAAACCAGGGGTATCTCCGCCATTCTCCTTCCTTATAACGTGAAAGACCTCCACTTCTGTTTGGACCGTCGCCGGCATCAAAAACTCCTCGTCATTGTCTTACTCAATCTCCGAGTCCGGCATCGCCGGGACATCTGGCGAATCGTACGTATCCCATGCTTTCTGTATGACGTCCCTGTAGTGTTGTGTTAGCTGTCTTGTTTGTTCTCGTAATGATGTGGAATACTCACGCCTCAACTTTGATCAATTCGATGCCCTTCTTGCGGCAAAAGGCCAAGAAACGCCTCTTGGTGCGGTCCCGCTTGAATTCGGCCAAGAGGTCGCCTCTAGGCTCGCCATCGGGCGAAATCACGACGCCATCCTTGCATACCACAATGACCTTGGAAGTGTCGGTGGCCCATTTCAGCTCCTGGATGTGTTCCAACTCCAAGTGGAAATTCACCGGCTTGGCGTAGATGCCCCAGGTCAAAGTGTCGCTTTCCGCAAGCACTTGATGCTCAAAAATCTGTTCGCCATTATCCGGTATCCAGTGCCAGTACTGTGTCACACCGGTGCTAACGCTGTTCAGTCTGGACTTGATCCGGTTCAACGCCCAGTCGTGCTGGCCGATATGATCGCCGCTGTAATCATCGGTGTCGGTGAAGCCGTCGTAGTTTAGATCCTGATCTTTGGGCTTCCCAGGAATTCTAGCCGTCTTAAGCTTTTTCGATTGCCTGGCAAGCTCAGGCGTCGGCGGCGCACTCAGCGGCGTTTCGCTTTTCCGGGATTGAAATTGGCTTGGTGGTAATTGGCTTGGTGGCTGAGGCTGAGACTGAGACTGGACAGGAGGATGGACTGATGGATAGACCTGAGGCGGCACCTGAGGCTGTACCTGAGGCTGGACTTGAGGCTGGGACTGGAACTGAGGCGTCGGTGTCGGGGCAAGTGGGCGCTGAGATGCGGCGGGATACTCTTCGTTGATGAAAAACTTGCGCTTCTTGTTATTGGGGGTGCCCCTGGCCGAGTTGGGGGAGTCCTTTGGCCCCATCTTCATTCCCGACGGTCTTCCGATGCTCTTTTTGCCGTTGGCGAGTCTCAGAGCCACGTACTTTGAATCGTGGTAAAAGTCATGAACCGTCTTGGCCAGGTTGAAGTCAGGTCCGTCCAAGATGATGAGCTCCTGCAGGCGCTGACGAAACCACTCCAGCGGGGTGATGTCAAGAGTCTTGAAGCCTTCCAGAGTTCGCAGAGTGTCAGCAAGACGGAAAATAGTGTCGTAAGAAACCAGTCGGGTCATCATATACTTCTTCCCCACCAATTGATAGGGGCAAAAGTCTGCTTCGCTCAAGAATTTCAGAATCGTCTCTCCTCGATTCACCTGTCTGCCCAGCTGGAACTTCATGCTGGTCTGCCCCTTTTCCAGAGCAGTTTGCAGCTTGTCTCGCCATGACTGCAATGTCGGCTCGATCAAGGGCACGATATCCGGCCAGGCTGGGTCCCAGTACTCGTGGGTCCGATCAACCTTATTGAAGGGTACGCCGGCCATGCACTCTGGATGCGTAAAGACTTTTCCGTCGTGCTTCAGCAAGAGGTTCGCCTTGGTGATTGGGGTCATATCCTCATCCGTCTCGTCAGTAGCTGTTGAGCCTTCGGCAAAGCTCTTGTCTCGGGAGCCAGGTCGACTCTGGCCGCCGACGGGAGTCGCAGTGCCGTTGGTGAAGCTGCCGTTGGCGGCTCGTTCGTTGTAGACATCTTGGGCGTTGAGCGCCTTGAATCCCCTCGTGGGCGGCGTTTGACTTATTGATGACGGGACGTCACAACAGTTTGAGCTCTGCCAAACGCAATTACCACATGCCTGGAATTCAGGCATATCGAGGCCGATGCATTGTGCAAAGGGGCCCCTGCCGCTGGCACACGGAGTGCATTGCTGCGATTGTTTCCGGACGAGGCCAGTGGCCTGAATGATGGCGCCCTTCCACTTGTCCTCCGCCTCTTCGAAGGCCCTCATGTCGTCCTGGCCGAAGGAGACGCCGTCGCGGAGCTGGACAGGTCGTTTTTGAGGTAAGCTGGACAGATATATGACGATTCTGTTGCTCGATACGATACGGTTCACTGGTCCCACGGTACGGCCCAATGCGTCAATGATCATGGTCAGTGCAGGTTGGTTGGGTCTGACATGACTGGGGATCGTCACGGCGGCACCATTCCGATGTTCTCCGTTGGTGTTGATGCCGTTGAGTCCGGCGCTGGCGACCTTGCTTAAATGTGACGGTTCAACAGGCCCAGACTCGCGGCGCGGGGCGGCGCCAGCAAGAGCTGCAGCTGCAATGCTAACACGTTCATCATTCTCTTTCCGGCGTTGCTCCTCAAACCAGGCAGCCAACTGCATCTGGTGGTGTTCGCGTTGGATCTTCATATCCTTCCTGGTGTTTTGGAACCTGTCATTAAGCTCTTCGAGATGCTTATGTTCCCGTGTGATGGCGCGGTGAACTTCTAGCGCACGTCGCTCGAGCTCATTTTTCTCCAAGTTCAGTTCGGTCAGGCGTGCCATGTAGTACTTGGCATTGTCGAGATAGCTTGCGTCGAGGTTCTCGTCGTCCTGCTCATGCACCTGGCGCACGGACTGCCAGTAGTGCTCTTCATCCTCGGTGACCGTCCGCCTGTCATCTCCAGGATCGAAAGGCATGGTGAAGGGGCCCCAATTGGGAGGGAGTTGGTGGTGGTGATGAGCAGATGAAAAGTGCGGGTTCTGAGGGGACGTGTGAGTGAAATGCGTCGATAAACGCAGCAGTGCGGTTCATCCAAAGTTGGAGACACGGGGCGCAGGCTCTCGAGATCGGTCGGGCAGAAAATCGAGATTACTTGAGCACGAGGGTGCGACCGTTCCAAACAAGACTGGGGTTTCGCATTGAAGGAGATGGGGAATCTTGAATGGAAATGAAATGCGGCGACAGTCCGTCCAGGCCAGGCCAGGGGTGTGGAATCGGTGGATAAGCCGAAGATGTCGCGAGCGTCGATCAATCCACGGCGACCTTGGGGTGTGTTATGCCGGCGCTATGGCCCGTGAGTGTGAGGTGAGGTGAGGTGCTGTCAAGATTTGTGTGTGGGAATGCGATGCAACAGGAGAGGGGTTCTGAAAGTCAGACCGGGGAAGGCAAAGTTAAGGTAAGGTAGGTAGGCATCCGTATCCGTAGTGGTAACTGCAATCCACGTCAAGGGTTCGGAAGGAAATAGCCGACGTGACGTGAAAACGTTAGGCGACAGTTGAAATTGGTCGAAGGTGAGGTGAGGGTGAAGATGGGAGATGAGGCGATAGCGTCAAAAGATACGGATAGGACTTGGCTGCAACGGGGGCAGCGGGATGTGGGTGAGTGAGACGTCAAGCGACGCAGATGTGCAAGACGGTGGCTGTTAGTGTACTGTACGACCAGTCCCTAGGTCACCGTATTGAAAAATTCCGAGCGATAGAAAGGTAGCGTGGGTGGCAGGGGACCAGAATCGACTAATGTACTTAGGTGCGTCGATGTCGTTGAGGATACGCGGATTATAGGCCCGATGGAATTTGGCGATAGGCGGATACCATCAGCACACGGTCGGAAAATGACAGTCCAATGGGTGTTACTGCTGGGTCGATGGATGGCTGAGATGAGCGAGACAGTCCGGGAAGTGATGGGCCGGAATGTCGAGGGCAGAAAAGGTCTGGGGTTGCTGCCCAGTGATGATTTGCTGTCGTAGATGCAGACAAAAAGACGTGATACGATGCAGGTGCGAATGAGATTGGGTCGTTGGGATTATAGGTGAGAAAGATAGTCGACTGCACTGGACTGCACCTCTGACGCTGTTCAATGTTGGAAGGCGATTAGTCGTCAGGTAATGAATATCGCGTGTTTGCACGTGACCTCGCGCAAGAAATTAGACGCTTACTCCCCTGTGCCGACGCAATGGAAAGGATGAGGGAAGGGGGGCAGATACTAGTGTTTGTACGAATAGATAGGACCTTGGACCGGGGGGGGGGGGGGGGGGGGGGGGGGAGAGAAGTGGCCCGGGGATGTGTAAGGTGCGAAGGATGATGGGGCAAGGCTTCAGTTACTGCAGTTGGTCGGCGGTCGGCTGTTACGAGTTATCCGTCGACAATTCCCTGATGAACTGAGTCGGTTGCGGAAAATGTTTTGTCTGTGGGGGGGGTGGGGGGGGGTGAAGCCAAGCAAAATGGGCCTTGGATTGAATCAGATCGAATCCAATGCGTGGTGGCCTTACTCCGTAATTAGAACCTAGAAAGATGTGCCCGGGGGAAAGAAGGGGGGGGGTCTTGTGCCGTGTGAGGAAGAGAAGGGGAAAAATTCAACAAAGGGAAAGAAAGGCGAGAAAGGCCGGGACAATGAACAATGGCAAATGGCAGGCACCTTGGGCTGGGAAAAGCAGCAGCAATTTGCTTGATTCCCCTGCCTTTCTAGTCCCTAAGGCATCTATTACCTGATGTACCATACTTAATCCAAGTACCTAATCAACCGCATGGCCACCGTCACAAAACCTGGAAGGTAATAGAACCCGTACATAAGGTACATACCGAAATAGTAAGAGTACCTAGGCCAGAACCATCGGGTCAGGTACTGCCTATGGAAGTCCGGACTTGCCTCGATGTTGGCAAAAGGGCAGAAACGGACTGGCAATTGCCCCCACCGGTACACGCACAAGAGTGAAGAGGAAGCCAATCGACTTTCATTGCGTCCTTCCCATGTTCTATCTTCGGGTGCATTACCCTGCTAGATAGTATCAATAGTTGAGGTAACCTAAACTGGTGCGAATACCTTGTCGCTTACCTAAGTACTCCATACTTTAGGTAGCGCTACCTACCTCAGGTCCGGTGCTGGCCCATGCATTGTGCATGTACCTTTTCTAGGTATTTTCCCCAGTCCCTCGTGCCTCCCTAGAAAACATTGTTCGAAATTGAAGCCCGGGCAGATATTGCGCAATCGGCAGGATGCTCACTCAAGGTGCTTGCTTACCTTACTCCGTAGCTACCTTACCTAAGGTAGACAATGAGTATCCATCCTATGGATAACGAACTCATTCCCTCGATTGTATTGTTAGTATTGAATTGCGGGCTCCCACCTTATTACGTACCCTGTCTCATGACACTTAGAATCTGAGTATTACATTGTCGCACCTACCTTAGACCACGTGATTGGATGCAAGTGCGAGGAAACTCAGGAAAGCCCCTTAGCTTCGGGCTAGCGCACGCCGATAACAGATCCGATGGACCCGATAAGGCACCCTGACCTGGGCCCCCCTCCACTTCTTACCTCGTCCCCTCCATCAATATCAATACTTCCAGCCTAGGTTCTCAACCGTTCAACCGCCTTTATTCTGAATTGATGCGATGAGGTCTGGACTCCCGACACTGACTGACATATTGATGTGCTATGAGTCGTGACTATCTGCACAACGGATATCCAGTGTGCCAGTACGGATACCTTACTCAAAACTTCACTCGGCCTCGTTTCCGTGTTCCGGTCTCCGTGCATCTCAGACTGGACTCCACCTCCACTTCCCCCTTCCAATCCAAATCCTACCTTGGAGACACGGACGCAGATCGCAAAAAAACCTTTCTTGTAGCTTTTCAATCAAGCTTGTCAACGCTTGTCTGTCCGTATCTAGCAATCTACCACTTGAGTATAATCTTTCCCCAGCTGCCCAGCATCTTCCCCCCAGGCACGAGCCCGAGCCTCTCGCGCTGCTCGGGCAGTGGATGTGACTTTATCTTGCGGGCTACCTTGGGAGATTGCTCGCTTGCTGCTCACTGCTCTCTCATCCAAGGTTTGCCCGGGATCTGAAAAGGATTACACGTTGTGTAATTAGCCCACCAACGACAGTCCATCTCTTCTGCTTTGCCTAGATTGAAGTCTTTTCAAAGCTTGACGCCAGATTTCTCCCCCTTTCAATTTACTATATTGCGTATGGCAGGCCAAACTCTTTACTGAGTTCGAGTCAAACTACCACATATACCCTTATTGCAGAGTCACATAGTGTCTACACATGCCAAGACATCGCTGCCTCGACCTGTATTCGAATTCGGAACGAGCTAGGTGGAATGACACGTTCACCGGGTCAAGACTTCATCCGTGTCATCTTGCGCTTACTTGTATACTGGCCCCCTAGTGAACAACCACGCGGCTTGCATGCCCTTCAGACCCTTCCCCTGGCTGGTCTCCCCTGGCTGACGACTCGTAATCTCTACCCGCCGCGCTCAAGTTTGCTGTATCTTGATTGAATTAAACTATGTACTACTGACACCCGTGGGCATCGATACCTATACGTGCTAACGTTATTAACCTATTCGCTTGTTGACCGTTGATCCATCTACAACCGGCCCCGCCGCGGCCGCCCGCCTCAGCCCAAAAAACTCAAAATCGGCCGTGTCTCGGGATGCAGCCCGACCTATAAAGACAGTCTTTTCCCCCAAACGCCATTCTGATTCAATGCCCAAGTCGTTGTCATCCCCAAAGTAACACAGATGTACGAAAAATATCCGCTGCAGATCGGCAAGATCCGGACTCCTGTCGTGAAATTTCGCCGTGGAAAACGCCCATTCAAAGTCTGGGCGTTGTCATGCACATCCCCAACTGTCAACCTCGATACTGCATCAGTACCTCGCAGAGTAGCGCGCCGGTGCCGGCGAGGGCGAGTAGGAGTGATCGTAGCCACCAGCCTGGCTGTAGGGGTCGTTGTCGTAAACAGTCGCACGGCGGTCCTCCTCCGGCAGCAGCTCCTTCACTTCCCAGTTGTTCATCCTAGTTCCAACTGAGAACTCGAGATCCTCGCGGGTGATGGAGTCCCAGTACTGCAAAAAAACGGATTAGGATTTGTGGTCATTTCAAGAGATTCAAGTTCACATACCTTGTACACCATCATGACACCCAACAGGTTGCAAATGGTGGCGAAGAACAGGCCGTCGAGGTAGTGGCTGACGGCGGTGCAGATCTGGGTGCTCACGGCGTACAGGATCACCTGGCCAACGACGAAGAAGAAGATGCCAAAGGCAATGTCGCCCAGCGGCCAGCGGTCCTGGAGAGTCCTAACAACGAGGAGGATTTGCAGGGCAACGTAGACGAAGAGCTCGATAGCGTTGAGCAAGTACAGGACGACGAACAGGCCGACGGTGTTGGTGGGGCCCAGGCCAGCCCATGACTTGAAGGTCGCAAGGGAGACCAGGAAGCATATCGCAAAGGCCACCAGAGAGCAGACGCGCAGGAGCCAGACGGAGAGGAAGGTGCCATCCTCGTACAACTGGAAACCGACGAAGCCGTTGATCAACAGGCAAGTAATCAGAGCCGATGACAAGCCGTTTTGAACTGACACGAAGTACGGGTAGGGGTCGGATCCAGGGGGGACGACACCTGCATCGACGCAGAGTGAGATGAAACTCAGAAGCATATAGATGTAGAAGAACATGAGGATTTCCTTGCGACCTATGATTGTCTCGTCAGTTTTCTTGCGTCGAAGATGGAAGGGTCTTGGGGGCTAACGTACCAACAGCAGTGAATTTGCCACGAATGTGCAAGATCATGACGACGGTCATGAGCAGAGACACAATGTGCATGGCACTGGCAGCACCTTCAAAAATGATGGTATTTGCCAACTCGATATTACGGGCATAGCAGTCCGGCTCAATACCAACGCCGCTCGTCACCTCCGTGATGGGGCCGATGGATGCGCACAATGGCAGTGGCGCCATGTGGCAGATATTGGTGAAGTCACCGAAGCCTGACATGATGGGCTACGGCCGACCTACGGCGATGAGGCTTTTCGGAGGGGCAGATGGCGGAGTGGCAGCTTCGAATCGTTCGAGCAGTGCGCGAGGTATGCGTTTGAAAGATTTCGTCGAGAGTCGAAGGAAGTTCTCGACAGGGGTGGCAGCGAAAGGATACTCGGGCGATGGACCGAGTCGAGGCCAAACGACGGGCTCAACGTGATATGGATAGTGTTTCGTCGAGAGAGTGAGCGAGATGTCCGGCGAAGCCCGGTGGTGTCGTCGCGAACGAAGGGGACGATGGTGCGAATGGACGAGGAATGGATGATTCGATGGATGTCAAGGGAGGTCACTCGGATGGAGCGCGGGCGGGTTTATCGTGGAGAATGAGGCGTCGGGGGTCCGTGACGGGAGATGGCAAAGAGTCAGGAGTCCGAGATCAAGGGCGACGGAGAGGTTTTTTTTCTTGGACGAGAGTTTCCTGTCGACGATGACGATATTACGGAGGCAGCGACGACAACCTAACAGTGAAGATGGAACGGAGCGAGGGTGCGACAACGAATGACTAGGCAAGAACCTGATTCTGATGAACGGGCTGGTGGTTGGGAGCGAGTGACAGTGAACGGTTGCTGTCCGACGACAAGCTGAAGCTGAACGGGGGGAACGTTGGAGCAGCGTTGCTGTGGAAAAGGGAGGAAAGGAACCCACTTTGCACACTCTGAGGCCCTGCAGGTGCAGAACAAGCGCGGCAAGTGCAGGATTTCAAAGTGCCAAAGTGCCAGGAGGAGGCGGGCAAGAGCGGGCAAGGCGGCAGGCGGGTAACACACAGCAAGGAAGGAAGCACAGCTGGAAGGAGAAGGGGACCACTGGGGGATCTCGTAAGAGGCGCCTTCCCGGTCCAGGAACGGGACGGAGTGGAGCGGATGGCAATCTTTGCAGGTCAAGACTCAAAAGGTGGCTGGTGGCTTTTGAATGTTCCCCAATTAAATACAACAGAATGCCTTCATTCGCGACTTCTAACTGGCTACCTCGTGCCCTTCCTTCCTCCCCCCCCCCCCTTGGAGCGTTGAAGTCTGTATTCTCGGCAAATTATCCCAATTTAGTAGCATCACCCCTGCCCAAGCCATTGAAGTGAAGTCCATTCTTCCCCGCTAGCTCGAACACGAGGCCCCGTCGCCCCGTCTGGCAAGAAGTGTGAGCAGGTGAGATCCCCGTTGCTGCCAGTTGTCCAGCCACTTTTTAAAATCTTCCATGCCGTGTAGAGTGCTTATGTAATTCATCCCTTTCCCCAGAGTTGCAGTCGCAGTCGCACCTCTCCATTTCAATGCCGTTGAGTGTCAGTGACGCTATTGTCACCCTCTTTTTTCTGAGACGAGGCGCATTCTGTGCATCTGTCTGACCTTGATTGTTACGCCGTGTCCATTTCCAAATTCCACCATCGTCAAACAAAGACATTGAGTCGCGTTTGCGACGCGTTGCCCGTCCCTGCGTCAGGAAAGAAAAAAAACTGACATCGAAACAAGACAAACCTTGCAAAGAACAGCAAACTCCCGCTGTCACTGACGTGGGCACGCACTCTCCGCGTCGTCCAGTCAACCGTCGCATCCTTTTCGTCCCATCTCGCCCCAAACTCTCTACCTCTAATCACCTGCAAACCGGTTATCAGAACGACCTATGACCAAGATGGGTTTACTTACAGTCATGTCTCTATCTGGTGGTTCAATCATGGCCTTCGTGTCTGTGTCACACAGTTGTTGACCTGACAGCTTTATCGCTGTGAATCAATGTTGATCGACCACCACGGCAACCGCCTCGGTGTAACCCACAACCCGTCTAATACGTTGTCGTCTCAGCTCACTGGTCCAGCCAAACCAACGTCTCAGCCTGATGTGCTGAAACGTCACCCAACACGACGCAATCGCCTTGAATTACCACACCTTTCTCGACGCATGTCTTGGCGCAATATCGTCTCGTTTTCGGATCAGCCTCACCTAACGGATCTCGAAACCTCTCCTTACACCTCCACAGTAGGCAGTGACAATACCGTCAAGAAGGTGCCATCTGGAACCCAGCAATGCCTAATCCACGGCATACCCTTCAACATTCGGAAGTGAGCGGGCAGAATTTCCCCCGTCCAGCTTCGTGGCTCTTGCTGTGGCCCTCCAACATCTGCGTCACCAAACTCGTCATCGCTTTCCAGTAATACCATCGACCGGTGTTGCAGAAATCGCATCAGAGTTCGGAACGTTGCAGGAGTAAAGCTGGCTTCTTTGGTGATGCTGACAGTCACGCCAGCTTGTCCCATTCTCTCCTCCACGTCCCTCGTCTGGAAGTTGGCCCAGTCCATCTCGCCAAGGATCTCAAGCGACGTCGATACGTTGGGCAACACGTTTTGTTGCTGAGCGAGGCTGGCTGGTGCTCGTCTCCAACCCAGCATGCCATACACGTTGGCCGCAATACACCACTGGGCCTTGCTGCTGCTCCTCCTCGCATGTCCATTCGTGTCCGCCACGATCTGAAAAGCTTTCTTGAGGCACTGGATGGCATTGATGGCGCGGTGGATGCGATGCCACTTGGTCAGGCCGAGCAGCAACAGAGCCCTTTTGAATCCAACAGGCATACCGCCCTCTCGATCCTTGCCTTGATAGAGCTTTCTCATCGTCTGGATGAAGCGGTCAACCAACGTGGCAATGTCAATCAATGAGTCGGCAGCTTTCTCCAACTTATCGGCGACCACACCCGGCTTCAACCACGTCAAGCTACCCTCCCGCTGGAGCTTGCTATGCAACAAACTAGCCATGCAAGCGGTGACCTTTACCGCAGCTTGCTGGCAGTCCGTCTTCAGCATCATGATGAGGCGATGCTCAGCGTTTGCCCCGAACCCTACAAAGCATCGACTGACTGATTCGGATGGGTGGTAGTCGATTGTGAGGCTCCCGCAGTGCATAAGCAAGCCCTTGGTCAGGTGCTTCCTCTCCTTGACGCGGTATAACACCCGGGAAGAGCAAGAATCATTGTCGATCTGGAATCCGTCCCGAGAACAATGGCCAACATCGCCAGAGGCCAGCGGCATCCAAAAGACATCGTCGGCCAAGGGACCCGATGGGTGGTAGAACTTGGATTTGTCTACTGTGAATGTCCCACGTGGAGCTTCGACGGACTTCCATACCGCGGCCATGTCGATATCCGCCGGCACCAGGCGTGGGGCCATGGCGAAACTCGAAGACGTCAAGCGACGTATAGAAACGAGCTCGCGATCATTTGTGCTCTCGTCCCTTGCGTCGTCTAAGCTCTTGGATCTTTTGGACCTCTTGGATATGCCGAACGTCATCTCGCCGTTTATCCCTCGGTGGGTATTACAGGATAAAGGCTAGCTCGTACTACGAGTTGAAGTGAGCACCCACTAACACTTGTCTTGTTCTTCTTGGTGAGTATTCTTATAGGGATAGATGACAGGTGTATGTTGACTGATGGGCCGTCGTATGCCTTGATTAATATGTGCTCGGCAAGAGAAATGATGAAAAGACGGTAGATGTTCATAACTCTTACAGGGCGGCTACGGTACCATTTCTTCCCAGCTACAGACTCATCTCCAATTGTTAATTCCTTCAATAGAGTTTTGACACTTAGTCGGGGGGTTTTATTTTTACCTTACATAGATAGTTGCGACTTTTGCGAGCAGCTGGTCCCAAAAAGCCATCTCCGATGAGAACGCAACCTTACTTTTTCTACTGGTCGTGAACACATCGTCCGCAAAAAGATTTGTCTGGCTGACAACCCTTTTGGAACAGGCATCAAAGATGTCCAGTAACCTACAATAGTAATTCCCAAAGACTTGCGTAGAACGAGAGAAGAGGTTGTACACAGGTCCCATCGACACAGCATATCAACTTTTGTCGTCTCAACACCATATTACCGGAACGTACTCAAAACAAGGTGCCAGAGCGTACCGTACAAAATGCCTAGATTTGTCGACGACTTTCACACAGTACCTGGTTTCAACCAACCAAACATCACCAAAACTGCAATGTCACTGTCCATCTCTGATTGGTTTACACCCCCAAACCCTCATCCGCCCAAAATCATCGACAGACTGACTTGTGGCCATTACATCCACATTGATTCAGCTAGGAATCACATGCATCACATCACAACATCACAATGCCTTATGAAATAATCACTTGCTTTTTACTGTTACTTTTACTTTTTTGACTTGATTCGTTTGATCTTTCGTGATCTAGCTGTCATCGCTGACGCTTGGTTTCTATCTACGCCGAAAAAGGCCCCTTTGCCTCTTCGGAAGAACCCAATAAAATCCATCGCTTCCGCTCGTGGGCAAAGTCGAGCTGGCGCGGTGCATCATCCGGCAGATTATACACGAACCTAAAAGGCCCTTACTCTTTCTTGCCTTGTTAACCTCCCTATTACCCCGAAAGCCCAAAAGTAGGGAGAGAGAAAAAGACAGCTCCGCCTGATGCGATTTTCACAGTTGATCCATGAGAATCGTCCCTTTCCTTGCCAAGGTTCCCCAAGTTTCCCCCAGTCCTCCTTGGCCGCTCATGAAATAAAAAATAATGATCCTGACCCGACGCCTTGACAATGCAATGCTTAAAAAAATGAGTTGAAAGATCTATCCTCCGGATACCGTATCCGTGGAGTGTATGTTGGTAACGGTGGCTGGTTCATTCGATTCCCAAGCCTCTAGTTCGGGAAGGGTCCTTGCGGCAGACCATGGGGCATTTGCGGCATGTGAGCGCTCATTCTGTAGGGTGCATGCATGAACTCAGGAACCACACCGGTTCGCAGGTCGTTGCGCCGCCCAAGAGGTTGATAGTGCATCTGCGTCGTAGGCAGATGGTATTCGTTGAGAGAAGCCGACGGTGGAGGGTAAAGTAGAGTGTTGACGTGACGGATAGGCTTGTACGGGCTGGGTCGTTGTTGAAGATAGACGCTCGGCGAGTGTGACATGGGCGTATGCGAGATCGGGGTGTGCATGACGGATGTCGGGAACTGTTCCCCGAGGGGTGAAGACGCATACACGGAGAGACTTCCTGGGCTGTGTCTCTTCGTCGGGGTGCCGTATCCCATGTTGGGATGCATCGGGACGTTCGAGGGCGTAAGCGAGGCTTGCGGCATCGAGGTAGTGGCCGGCATGGGCAGCTGCGGCATCGAGACTGTCGTGGTAGGGTTAAACACTGTCGCCATAGCACGAACGCCGTTGCTCAAGGGCGGCAGAGAGACGTGTTGCTGCGCCGGATAGGTCGTCGTGGCCGGGTACATTGGTGTCTGTGATGGTGCGGGGTTGGTATTCAGCGTTAGGTTCGGTACGGGCAGACGCATGGGCTGCTCGTTAACGACCATGGGTCTGACGGCATGCGGCATCGCACTGGGTTGCCTGCTGAGTCGTTTCGCTGGGGGTTCCGCCACGTCTTCCTCCGAGCTTCTCTTACGAGCATTCATGTTCATACCCGAGACGTGCTTGCCAGAAAGTGGTGACACCTGTGGGTTGTGATGATACGTCGAGGGCCAGGCCTGAGTGTTGCTCTGCACGTGAGTGCTAGGCGAGTAGACGTTTGCGGCAGAAGGCGTGGGGGGCGGGAACGAGACTGCGGGCTGCGCGGCGGCGATGGGCGAAGGGACCGGCGAGGTGAAGGACTTGTTCAGGGGCGAAGTCGGTTGCTTCTGGGCCCGCTCGTAGTACTCCGAGAAGCAGGACAGCTTGACGAGCCATGCCTCCCACTCCTCCTTGGTGGCCAGCAGGCTGTAGCGCATGTTGCTGAGAAACTCGACCTCCATGACATGGATCTCCTGGACGGTGATGCCAGAGACTTCAGCCCAGGTCTTGTTTGTGTAGGTGTTATCATCCAAAACTAAGAGCTGTTAGCAAGCATTTCTCGCTCCCTATTGCAATCTTAACTCACACTTGTTGCCCAGCATCAGAGCAACCGTCAAAAGACGGTACTCACTACCGGACCGACCCTTGACGGAAGGATTTGTCGTCTTCAATCGATACACGAATAACAGGGCCAGCAGAATCACATTTTGCGTGACCTGCGTCGTCGAGAGCACGCTGTAGGCCCACTTCTTGAACTGAGGGAAGGGAGTCGCATACTCGGTGAGGCGAGGTACGGTGGCGGTCGACGGACGGGAACGGATATTTTCGGCGATTCGCAGGGTGTCCATAGACTCGAACCAAAACAGGCACGTAATCTGGGGCATATTAGCCACTACTAGTCTAGTTCTCTGCGGTGGTCCAGCTTACCTGTGCCGCAAAGTCGGCCAAGTTACCACCCTTGGGGTTAATGCAACTCGGTATCGACAGGCTGTGCAGAACGAGAGCCGAGGAGCCCTTCCGTGATGAAGTGCCATCTGGCTTGCCAATGGCACCTGAAGTCGGTGTCGAGGGGCGAGTCGAGTGTCGGGAGGTAGTTGAATATTGGCTAGTGCCCGAGGCCGGATTTGTTACCGGTTGTTGGGGTTGGGAGTATGTGTTGGCGGGTTGTTGATACCGAGGGTATTGAGGAGCTCTCGCGGCCTCGGCCATGACAGCCTTAGGTCCTCTTGCCTGAGCAACTGATGAAGGATATGAGGGAAGGACATGGCTGTCGTAGGAGACAAGGTGGGAGGCGTGGTAGGTAGCACTCATGGCGTCGGTTGGCGGCGTGCGAAGCCCGCCCCGGTACTGAGAAGCTCCTGCCCCAAGATTGAACCTGGGATCCTTCTGCAAGTGAGTGGCCGTGAATGAGGTTTGCTGAGAGTAGCTCTGTCTACACGACGAGGGGTGTGCAGGAGACAGAGGGAGGCTGTAAAAGGGTAAAGGTGCGGCAGTCGAACACATCGGAGCGGGGGGAATTGATCAGGGGGGGCTCGAGGTTCGTCGTTCGAAGGTCGACGGTTTCGTGAGCGATGCTGCGGGTTGCGGAAGAAGTAGTTTTCGAGAGGCAGAAGAGAGGTCGGAGAGAGAAAAGGACGGGTCGAGGGTGTCAGTCAAGGAGAATCCAGGTCGTGGGCTGCTACATTTGTGGTTGAAGCAGGCGGCAGACTTCTGATGATGATTCACTTGTAGAAGCTTCCTTCCTAGCAAGACGTGTTTCTTTGTGTGTGCAGCTCAGCGGGAGGCTGTGGGTGGTTTTGAGTCAGGCAGTAGAAGTCAACCTGGATTATATGAATGCTCCCGTCGGGTGGTTTTATCCTGTACTCGCAGGCTCGGGAAAGCAGATCTCTTGAGGATTGGTGATTTTGCTGTTGTCGAGAGTGTCTATCTCCGTTACAGGCTGGCCATGGCAAGGCGAATCGCCTAGGAAATCGGCCCAGTCGCAGTCTCGAACCAAGATGTTCGTGCTTATGGTCCAACAATCGAAGGGGGGGAGGGCCGTATAAATCGGGTTCGTCGACCGTCAAGGTGCTGGTTTGGTAGCAGGAGCAGAGAAGCAGCAGCAGAAGTAGTAGCACCTTTGGAGGGGTGAGTTGGTTGGTGGGCACGAAAGATCAAGGCGTGGAATCGGAGATGGGTTCGAGGTTGATGTCAGGTCGGCAAGGTAGGTACGAATAAGTCGGAGGGGTGAATGTGTCGGTGGATTAAATTCGGCGGAAATGGGAGGTAGGTATAAAGTAAAGGTGGAAGAGATGACCCTGGGCCGACGTGTACATCAGATTGTCCGTGTAAATGAAGGGCTCGTGGGTGGTGAGGTCAATGGGGCTCCGTGATTCGGTGGGATGGCCGTGGTGGGAAGGATGGATGTGAGAAAGGAAGAGAGTGTGGCCGGCGGTATTGAAATTGTATTGTATTGTACGGGATGTTGCTCGGTATTTGGCACACACACACGCATACATGTATACATGTACACATACACCACACTAGACCAGAGTGGATGGAACAGGAGAAGAAGAAGAAGAAGAAGAAGGATAATAAGAAGTAGAAGAGGCTAAAGACCAGAGCAGTAGCAAGAGGGTCCCCCCGTTCAACAAAAACAGAATTAGCAGAAAATAAAAAAAGAGAGAGGGACGAGGCGAGGCAAGCTGGACGAAGAAGAGTTTAGAGAGAAAGAAGCAAGGTAAAAGGCAAGGTAAGGCACACGGCAAGAATGGTCGGGACCGGGGGTCCAGGTAGAAAGGTAAGGTACGAAGTGATAGATTGAAGCCGAAGCAGTGCCAGCAGCACAATAAAAACGGAGTGTCTAGTAATATGGTTGCGTCGTTCGTTGTCTGGACTCTGGGACTCCCTCTACTGCTCTCCCGGTTTTTTTTTTTTTAAAAATTATTATTATTTGGAGAAACTTGCAGCAACCTGCAGTGAGAGACAGAGCAACGGGAGTGAGTAAGGTGAACCGTGAAAGTAAGGAACCTCCTACCTTAGCAAGGAAAGCAAGGTACCTAGTTCCCAGCCTAGGCACCAGTAGCGTATGTACCGGTCATCCACAGATTGGAAGGAAGGTCACTAGGTACCAATGTCTTGTACGAGAGCAGTGTGAGGAAGAGAAGTATCCGTATCCGCGCGCGCCCTGGTTATGGGTCCCCGTCTGGGTCAGGTCTGTGGTCACAGTGGATGGATGGTGGAAGGCATGGGATTGGGATTGGGGGTTTTGGGCAAGGGCAGGCAGGTGGCAGGACAGGAAAGGACGGGACCCGGGACAGCCAGCATGGGACATGGAGGGATGGATGGATGTACCTTCGTACCCTCCAGTATGGGGATTGAGGATGAGGTGGGACATGGGAGG